TAAGGAGCTAGTGATGGTCTTTAGTAGCGCGACTTTGAATGGTGAATGATTTACATGTGAATTTCGGTCAATAATATCGAACCAACCAAATATCAAATCTATTGTTTGTCTTTTAGTTTGTCATTGTAGATGATTTAATCGGAAAGAATAGCTGGTTTTTTACTGGTGTAAAGATTAGTGTGATTTTTTTTCAAAATCTAACCCAACTACGAGAAAAAAGAACGTTTATTATTTTTTTCAAAATGCTCAAGTATCAACATTCTATTTTTTTTTGGATGAATGTTAAATTTATTCGAACCTGAAAAAGCGTTTTCTACATCTTTGTGCGAGTTTTTAATTGAAACAACATAAAATTTTTGCTAAATTAAAATCGGTGGAAACTATTTGAGCTTCTGTCACAGATTCAAATCCGCGGCCTGGATGCAAACCACAGCTGCATTCCCTCGTCATATTGCTATCTCCTTGCATATGAATTGAGATTAAGCTGTTTCGGATATTTTGAATGATTATACGGTCTCCGACGAACAAAATATGTGTTGTAATCCGATGCCATCATGAATAAACTCTTTTTCATTCTTTTGGCAATCCTGCCGGAACACTAAATTTTTATTTCTGTTAGATATGTGTGCATGTGTAAATTTTGTAAACCCAAACAATAATAAAGACAATTTAACCATCTGATATATAATACTTGCTCAACTCTCTCCAGTTTTGCGACACGTCAGCACCTGTAAGAATGCCATGTGTCATTTTATTAATGAAAAAGACTCCTAAATGTTAAGCGTATCCTTCTCTTCATCTTCTCTTGTACAATATTTTTACGTCTTCGCAACGCTTCCTCTACTCTTCATCCCGATATCCTTCATGTTCTCACTAAATACATCTCTCCACTGATCAATTAGGTCACGCTATTATCAGTTTTCCTTTCAAGACTCTTGGGTACTTGCTAATTTCGATTTCCCTACAAAAAACCATTCGATGGTCATCTAAGATTCGACAAAGGGTATGGAATCTCTGGATCTAGCTTAGATTTTGCATCTACTAATCTTTTCTCGGCTCATACTCGATAGAAAACAGGTATCCGTACATGCATGATTCAAAAAAAAAAATTGTTTTCTTTCCCTTTTTAGGAAAAAAGTGTTTCTCATTCTCATTCTTATCAGGATCCACCGAATTTGGCAGCAAGGTGATTTGGAAACCCTAATTTCTTGGCTAAGATAACACAACTCCTGAATGGGCACTGGACAACACACTTATTATGACGAATCTGCCTGAGTTTCTCGTCCCAGTGGAGATATTTCGAATCTGATGCTGGGAAGTAAACTTCTTCATCAGGTATTGTAGAAATCCACTTAATTTTCGAAAAAGATATCTCACCATTTCACGTGAAATTCGAGCTTGTGTATTTCACTGTAATCAGGCATCAATGAAGTCGTATGGACATTTGAGCATCAAAGGTAAGTAAGTTTATCATATTTGAAAACTTTTACCTTAGTGAAGGGTTTCTCTTCACTCCATGTCTCTTAAATATCTAAACCCATTATATTATTGATAACAAATGTAGACATCTCTGTAGAAGTTGATGGTGCTCTTAACAGGGTCACATGGATAAACTATATAACATCACTTGTATGTTTCTCTATAGAAATTTTTTTTTGGCTATTAGATTTTTGGGTTATTTATATATCCACTATAGATGAATGTTGACGTAAAATCAATTGCTTAGCTATGTCTGACCATGACTCAGGGCGTAGGTCTTATTTTTGAATTTAATGACAGAGCCATGAGTATATTGGAGGTTAAGTTCTTACTTCTCAAACTACATTACCATTGATTTATTTAGCTAATCCAAAAGAAACAAGTCCGTTTTCTGATGGTCAATGGTGTAGATCTTGTTTAGTGAGTTTTTGAGAAACCGATTGTTTGACAAGCTAAGAGTCACACCAAGCTAATGTTTGCTGCAAACTTCAGATTCTTTTTTGTGGCGTTCAAAATCATAATTTATGGGTCACATTGTTAGGAGGATGTATTTGAGCGACAAAAGGAAGCACTAAATAAGAACATTGGAGGAGGTCTGCTTGGAGTTGTAATGGCTGTTGTGGAAACAGGTGGACAAAGGCGAAGATGAAGAGCTGAAAAATCAAATATCTGAGGTTCACTGAGTCCTAATCATTTTTTTGGTATCTTTTGTCTTGTAGAGATTACTGCTTTCAGTGACCGGCATGCAGAGTTTGAGAAGTTTTTGAACACAGAAATATTAGGTGTCTCTGTCGATAGTGTGGTAAGTATATAACTATACAGTTAGTTACCATAAGTTGTCAAAAAAAAAAGTTACCATCATATTTCCACGTCCTTCTTTATTCTTATCTGTTTGTAATTGCTTGACTCATCCTTCCTGCTTTCTGCTGGTGTCTATGTGTGGGTTCAAACAGACAGGAAATCTGGAGGACTTGGTGATCTAAACTATCCCCTTATTTCAGATGTCACTAAATCGATCTCAAAGTCATTCGGAGTGCTCATCCATGATCAGGTAAATTGGTAGCCTCTCAAGCTTGACTATATGTTTAAATTTCTAAATCGTTTGGGAATTATCAAAAGCTGAGAACTTTTGTGTGGTAAAAACAGGGAATAGCACTGAGAGGGCTCTTCATAATCGACAAGGACGGAGTGATCCAACATTCCACCATCAACAATCTTGCTATTGGCCGAAGCGTTGATGAGACAATGAGAACCCTCCAGGTATACGAATAACCAGTTTACTCAAAACCGTACTTTCTTTCATTAACCCGATTATCCTTTGCATGATGCGTTCTCGATGTTGCAGGCCTTACAATACATCCAGGAAAACCCCGATGAAGCCTGCCCTGCAGGATGGAAACCAGGGGAGATGAAAGAAAGATGACATGAGGACCATCCGGAGGCTGTAGTAAAGTGGGAATTCTTAATCGTAAGTTAAGTGCAGAGTAATGGTTTTATTGAACTATTGTCTTAAGTGCTTGAAATTGTTTCGGGTTCATTTTAAAATATGCAGTTTGCATCTTAATACCTGAAGTAAGCTAATTGTGAAGTCTGAATTTGAACTTGGATAAAGAAAACTAAATCTTCAATCTTCTTTCTCTTCTGGAGTTTGTTGATAATTATATATATTTTAAATGATAAGAATCGTTGTCAACAAAAATTTTACAAGTGTTAGATTTTTCGTTGACGATAATGTGTTACTTCCATAAACGCCAGCCATATGCAATTTAAAAATTTCCAGTTAATGGATGAAGACTACTAAAAGAGCAAACTGATCAACGAAGAAGAATTACACACGCAAAACAAGTTCGATGCCAATAAATCTTTTCAATTCATGTATCTAATCACTTATTGGCTTCTGAATTCAATATCTAATTACTTATTTACATTTTACAATATAAAGTGTTTAACTGTACATATATCTAAACCTTTAATGTTATGACAAAGAACAGAGCTACAAGTTTTGAAGTCTAAATCTTCAGAAGAGAAACGCGATGAGAACAAAACTAATGAGTAATATTAGTAAGAAAAACATGATGAGAAATATTTCCTAAATCTCCACTTGAACACATCAAAAACAAAAATCAAAAATACTCAACAAATTAAAAAACAAAACAAAACAAAACAAAACGCAAAATTATTGAATGTATCAAGGGTTTACCAAGTTTATTGTGATTCTGGGTTGAGCAAAACATTAAAGAAAGAATGTGAAGGCTTAATTGTTGCTTCTTCTAGAAAATAATAATTAATTTTATTGTACTCACTGTATCTTTATTTGAAATAGATTTCTTCATGTGGTTTTCTATATGGCAGAAAGAGTATGGAGCCATGCAATGGAAAAAAAACAGCTACCAGATGGGCCTAATGCACGGTAGCGGATATATTTAGTTGGTAAGCTGAGGAAGGCAGTTAAATGGGGATCACTTTTCTCAAGTTTGTGCTCTATTAAGACAGATTCCAAGACATCACTGGAAGCTGAGGTATTTCAGTGACCCCAAATGTTGCAGTATTCAAAAAAATAGATTTAACCTAACTACTGCCTTGAATGAAAAAATAGAATACCTCTGTTTTAGGCTTTTAGCTTACTTATTATGTGTAAAATGCATGTGTATTCTTTTAAAAAATCAAAATATTTTAATAGAATTAACAACAAACTAATAAAAAGAAAAACAGACATAATCATGTTAAAAAACCAAAAAAATATGGAATAAATAAATGCAATATAACACCAGAAACGCTATCGTAACAAGATTTACATCAAATCTTACTTACTCAAATATGAAAACAATAAACAAACAATAAACATTAGTTAATTTCTTATGAAATCGTAAATAATAAAAACTATCCGCGTGTAGCGCGGGTTTCACCTAGTTCTAACAATATTTGACCCCAAAAAAATCATATAACAACTAAGAAGCAAATATGTTTGATAAGAGTTTCTATCTTATACTCCTTCAGTTTTACCTATATGATAATTTGATGAACGCATATAGTACTAAAATTCAAATGATTGAGTTACCTCTATTTGATAAATTAATGTTAATAAATAATAACGGCAAATTGTACCGAGATATTTCGAAAAAGAGTTAAATACTGTGCAAAGTAATACATATCTTACAAAAGAAGGAGAGAATACATTTGTTGTACTACGTAACATTTTAACTGCATAGTATGCATTACTCACACCAGCCATATACCCATTTAATCTTCATGACTTCATCCGTCAAAACTATTCAAAGTTTCAAACTCTCGTATACACAACAACAATGCTTTAAGAGATATATATGATTATATGTAACATTAATAGTAGTGTTTAATTCAATCTCTCTAGCCAAAATAAAAGCTTGCATGCATTTTGTCAAAAATAAATAAATAAAGAAATGAAAGCTTGCATTATTATTTATTCCACTGTTATTAGTCAAGCAAAATAATTAAATGAGAAACTATTAATTTATATCATGGCTACATTCAACCCACTCTTTATAGCAATGACTACGATACCCTCTCCTCCTCTTTCTTGTCTCTCCACCATCTTTCCTTATCAACTCAAGACTCATAAAGATTCGCTCATCTTCATCAAAACCTAAAAAAAAAAAAAATCAGAAAGAGTAAAAAAAACATAAAACCAATAGTGTATCAGATCTTGATATTATGGATCCTATCCACGGTTTTATGGGTACAACAAACATATCACATAACACAAACCTTATGATCGCCGCCGCCACCACCACCACTACCTCCTCCTCCTCGTCGTCTTCCTCAGGCGGCTCGGCGACGAACCAGCTGAGTAGGTACGAGAATCAGAAGAGAAGAGATTGGAACACTTTTGGACAGTATCTACGCAACCATCGTCCGCCACTTTCTCTCTCCCGTTGCAGTGGTGCTCATGTTCTTGAATTCCTCAGGTACCTCGACCAATTCGGCAAGACCAAGGTATCTATATTTATACTCATATTTTGTTTTTCTCGACCAAAAAAATATGTATTGATAATCTTTTTCCCTTGAAGATATAGATCTAAATGAAACCCTATATTAATATATACCCTTATGTCTAGTTTAAGTTTCTTTTGACCTACAAACTATGTTATATAGATAAATTTATACTCTTATAGATATTTCATATTTGTTGATGGTATAATTATCCTTAACGAGCTGATCTCACTGGTCTACGGTGATTTAATCTTACTTACGTTCTATATCTTTCATACATTTTCAATTATCACCGACAAATTATATTTGGACTATGTTATTAATTGTATTTATTCAAAAATTTATCATTATAAATAAAGAAATGTGATCTACATATACTCTATGATTCTTCCAATGATGGTTGTATATATGCAAAATGTAATCTCAATCATTATAAACTAATAAAAAAAAAAATATTCTATCATTCTTCTTGTGATTGTTTGTATTGTATATATAGAGATTGTTAACTCAATCATTATAAACTAATAAAATATGAGTCTTCCTAGAAAGTTGAAGACTGAAAATGCTGATCTCAAAACGCCAATTTGATCTTGTATTCTCCAGGTTCACACACAACTATGTCCGTTCTTCGGACATCCAAACCCACCAGCACCATGTGCCTGTCCACTTCGACAAGCGTGGGGCAGTCTCGACGCACTCATTGGCCGTCTTCGAGCCGCTTTTGAAGAGAATGGTGGTTCACCAGAGACAAACCCTTTTGGTGCACGAGCCGTTCGGCTCTACCTAAGGGAAGTGCGTGACTCGCAGGCTAAAGCACGTGGGATTAGCTATGAAAAGAAGAAGCGGAAGCGACCTCCTCCGCCGCTGCCACCGCATCAGCCGGTGATTTCAAGTAGCCCTCATTAGTAATAAGTCATATCAGTAAGATTTGTTTCAATCAACTACGTACGTTTGTTTACTACTTTCATAGTATTTGTCAGTCAATGACGAACATGCACGAGTTACTAAAAGCTACAAGCCCTTTTTTTCTTCCTAATCCTTTATTTGGCAAGCTAAAGTATTTTATACTTTATTAAATAAATATGTAATTCTTCACATATATGTGTATTGGTGTATTTTCTATACATACACTATTAGACAAGTCACATGTTCCCTTTATTTTATTCATGCGTTCAAGGGTTGAAGTAATGATTATCAGGAAGAAAATCGTTAATTTGTCCTATTTTTCAAAGATTTATATCTATAAATTCTTTTTGTATGCATAAATTGATCAAGAAATACAAGTTCTTGGAAATCTAGTTATATTTTTTTCCTTACAAGCGGATTCAAATGCAAGACCGATTATGAATCAACAGTAATATAGTAGTGTTTTTTGGGGGGGTCATTTATTAGTTAAGATTTCCGGTGTATAATTCTTTCATAAATGGCCTTATTGGTAGAACCAAACTAATACTAATATTTGGGATGATATAAGTTGAATATTATTGTAGTTCGATAAGACGTGACAAAAGAAGATTTGCAGAATCAAATGGATGTTCATGTCTTTTCAGGCTCTGCGTATGCCTTCCTTTGTAGCGTCCCAATTTGGTAGGGAATTGGCAAATCATTCAGTTTCTTGTCCTTGTTACAAAAGTCTTTTCTTTCTTTATTTAAAAACACAAAGTATTTTCTCGGTAGACTAGACTCTTCTTCTCATATATCATTTGATTATATATGCTTCCATTTGATTTTATATATATATATATATATATATATGTTTCCGTTTAATAGCGCTAAATAAAAACACAATACTTAACTTTTTTAGACATTAGGCAAATGAGGAAAAACAAAAAACTAAATCAGAGTTGATGGTTTGTTCGTCTAATAGACTAAAGTACTAGTTACTACGTCTTCCGTGTCAAATTAATTGTTGTTTTGACACTTTATAAGTAGCAATTTAGTAAAATTAATGAAGATTTGTTTAATTTAGTTATAAAACTAAAACATTTGGGATAAATTGAAAAATGATTAGTTAGTTCACGTTTTATCAGACTATCTATTTTTATTATGAATGGTACCCGACAGAAAAATTCATGCATACCATTCTATGCTCTCAATTTTCAGGATGCTAAAAGTTCAATGTCGTAGGATATATAGTTTCAGTTTATAACAAAAGTGACGATATGCATGAAGAAGAAAACACAACAGCAGATAGTGATGACACTAGCTTCTTATCAAATGACTGCGGTTTCGGAGACTCAAAAAGAAAAATATTTTTCGAATTTAACATTGCCGATAAAATAATGGATGATAACACATAAGAGCTTACATAAAATACTACAAAGAACACAGTTTTTTCCCTAATGAATTACTACAAAATTCGGAACAAACCAACCCTAATTATTCCAATAAGCATTTATTAGTCAATAATTCTCAATTAATCGCATGGTAAATATAAGGTGTTGATTAGTTCACCCGCTATCTCCCGCAAAAGCTGCGTTTGCGGGTGGTAGCGGGTTGTAGCGTTTAGTAACAATCACCGTAACCATTTTCTACCGCTCTGAACCGCTACATACCGCTCAAAATCAAAAGTTGCTTCCCGCAATCCCGCAAACGTTTGCGGTTGCGGGCGGTGGCAGATGATTTCAGATTTTTGTTTTTCAAAATATAAAATAAATTATCTTAAAAATTAATAAAAAATAAGAAAAATTATAAATATTGGAAAAAGTTAAGAATTTTTTTATTTTCTCGTATCAATAATTTTTATATTAATTCTTATTCTTAATATATATATCATTTATCAACTAAAATTTATATATGTAACTATATATATTTTATAAAAAAATTCAAACCTTTTAAAACTTTATATTTTATTTTTCATTTGATAATGTACAATATATACATATTAGTTAAATATATATCTGTCTATACAATTATGTTTTTATACAGAAAATTGTTTTAAACTCTTAAAAATATTTATTTAACTATTTATTATATGATTTAGTTTTTGGTTTTTAAATATTAACTTTACATATTTTTATATATAATTTCTGGTTTTTATATAAATGATATATTGTATGTATTTTTATTGTTTTAATATCAAACCGCTATTACACTCGCTGTCAACCAGTTAAAAATGTCATGCAAACGCAATAGTTTTCAACCGCTATATCAATCGTACAAAACGTTCATTAACGCTAATAACCGCAATCGCCTGCTTCTGCAAACTCCCGCAACCGCAGTCGCAACTGCTGCGAGTGAACCAGTGGAGCCCTAAAAAGGGTTTTTAGAAACATAGTTGCAGCTTGATTGGTGGATCGAATCGGGATCAGAGTGTGGGCCCCTCGTCACACGCTCTCTTACCATCTCATTTGTCATTTCATGTCAGCTGAACAAAAAAACACGATAATGGACCGATATCTGCCTAAATAATTAAAAGGCCATTTTATTTACGGGCTTTAAGCCCATTGGACTAACACCTTCGCGAGACAACAACATCAACTATTCATTTTATGCTCTCTGGAATTAAATTTATGAAAATTTCAGGAAGAATGATTACGAGAGCTGGTTGAAAATGATAGTAACTTCGAAGCAAGAAACCTAATAAAGCAGAAATGCCGTAAACAAAAAAAAAATAATTAGCCTGAAACAAAACTATATAAAAGCTTATATCTAAACCGAGAGAACACCAAATCTAAAGATTTTGTCTATTATTAAAGGAAAAATTCCTGCCCAATTTTTTGACGAAAAGAGACGAGTTGAATCCATTATGCTATTACACCTAAAATTTCATTGAAAATTGATTAGCATAAAATACCAAATCTGATCAAACTTACCAAAGAAACTTTCCCTTTTCTTCTTTAAAACCATAGCATAAGTCCATTTTTGATCCATACTTTTGATTTGTATCTAAAACTAGTATTAAGTAGAAATGATCCGAACAAAGTAAAACAAAACAAAAACATGATCAAAGAAACGACAAACAGATTTGAAAATCATTAACCAATTCTTCTAATAAATTTTGATGTCTTTTAACACACACTGAAACAAAAATTGATCAAACATGCTAATGTTGGGTAAAGACTAAAAAGAAGTTTTAGCTTTTCTTGGAGAAGTATAAAATCGCAACAAGTAGCTCTAAACACAATTCGACAAGTGTAATCTCTTATCCTACAAGAACAAGAAAAGAAAAAAAGAGCGTAGATCCAGAGGCAATACAACACGAACAAAAAAGAGTCAAATAAATAAAATAAAATATAGCATAGTTCATGTTACAAAAACAAAAAAGATCACCGACACCAAAAAAAAAATTTAAGGAAAGAAGAAAAATGGAGATCTAATTAATAAAAAAATAATTAAAATTCAATGCAAATCAGATTCTTAAATAATTAACGACCTTGACGCTAATTTCTCTCTCTCCTCACTCGAAGTCTCTCTCTCTCGCTGCCGCTTTGCTGCTTTGATTCCAATTTCCACCAAAAAGGAAGGAAGAGAAAGGAGAGAAGTTTGTTCGTTTCCCAATATAGACAATAGAGAACGAAGAAGAAGAAGCAGTCTCTTTTTCACTTCTTTAGATCCGAATCTCGCTCCATTTCTTCGATCTCTTCTTCTCTACCGACGATTTTTTGCCTCTCTCTCTCTCTCTCTCTCTCTCTCTCTCTGTGCCTTGATCTTGATCTCTCTGTCCCCGTCTCTTCCAAATCTACACAACTACTGAGTGAGTTTTTCTCTTCATTTCGGAGTTTTCTTATCCTTATCTTTATGCATCTCCAGAACTAGGTTTCGGGTTAATACGTTTACGATTTGCTGCTTATCGTTTAATGGATTTGATCGCGGAATTTGTTAATTTTTGGAATTCTTATTGAAAATTTTCAGTCTCTTACGATTTTTTTTCCTCTTTTGGTTGAGATTTGAGTTGCTTTTTGTTATGATGAACAGTGCGTGATTGTTTCTAGTTTGATACAGATCCATGATTGGCAACTTTTGAGATCATTTATGGCTTTGATCATTAATTGGCAGAACAAATTTCAATACGCCATTAGGGACCATAATGTTTGCTAGAGTCAGATTAATTGCTACTTGATCTTTGTATAGTTTATTTAGCTCGTTTCAGGTTTGGTGTCAAGATTGTCCTGATTTGTTTTTATGTTCTTAAAGAACATAGCTTGTACAATTTTCTTGGGATATTGAGTACGGTCACATGTTTCTGTAATTGGAAAAAAAAAAAACAAATCATCTGTTCAATTTTGTTGTTACGTAGAATCTCTCTTTTGGAGTCGTCACTATACACAAAGGCGATGAGAGGAAGATCAGATGGAGGGAAAAAGAAGCCGGTGATTGTTTTGGTCTGCGTTGCAGCGTTGGTACTTGTTTTTATATATCTGTTCTTTGGCTCCTCTAACCATGGGGCATCAGCTATTGAGTATGGGAGGAAACTTGGGTTGGGTGGTGATGAAGATGATAACAAGAAAGATGACACTTCTAGCTTGTTTGCTGTTGAAGAAGGAAGCAATGGTTTCACACCAAGAAGCTTTCCTGTGAGTTCTTTGATCCCTTTTTAATAAATTTATTATCCACTTCGACGTTCAGTTGATGATTATCTTCTTTTCTTGAAAAGGTGTGTGATGACCGCTACTCGGAGCTTATTCCTTGCTTAGACAGGAATCTCATATACCAAATGAGATTGAAGCTGGACTTGTCTTTGATGGAGCATTATGAACGCCATTGTCCTCCTCCTGAAAGGCGATTTAACTGCTTGATTCCTCCTCCTCCAGGATATAAGGTGTGTCATTTCTCTAGTTTTGCTGATATGATCACTGTCTCGACATATCTTGTGCATGTTTTGAAAGATGTTTTCTCTGTCAATATGTTTAGATTCCAATCAAGTGGCCGAAAAGCAGAGACGAAGTGTGGAAAGTGAACATTCCTCATACTCACCTTGCGCATGAGAAGTCTGATCAAAACTGGATGGTTGTCAAAGGAGAAAAAATCAATTTCCCTGGTGGAGGCACACATTTTCACTATGGTGCTGATAAGTATATTGCATCAATGGCAAATGTAAGGCAGATACTATGATCTTATACACAACAGAGATAGTAAGCTTTCTTCAGTTACTGATACTATTCTCGGAAATTGCAGATGCTTAACTTTCCAAGCAACATTTTAAACAATGGTGGGAGGCTGAGGACATTTCTTGATGTTGGCTGTGGTGTTGCAAGTTTTGGAGGTTATCTTCTTTCATCGGATATTATGACGATGTCCTTGGCACCGAATGATGTGCATCAGAACCAAATCCAGTTTGCTCTTGAGAGAGGGATTCCTGCATACCTCGGTGTTCTAGGGACCAAGAGGCTCCCATACCCAAGCAGATCATTTGAACTTGCACACTGTTCACGTTGCCGAATCGATTGGCTTCAAAGAGATGGCCTTCTTCTTCTCGAGCTAGACAGGGTGCTAAGACCTGGTGGCTATTTTGCATATTCATCTCCGGAAGCATATGCACAAGATGAAGAGGACCTCAGAATATGGAGAGAAATGAGTGCTCTTGTGGGGCGTATGTGCTGGACGATAGCTGCGAAAAGGAATCAAACTGTAATTTGGCAAAAACCTTTGACAAACGATTGTTATTTGGAAAGAGAACCTGGAACGCAGCCTCCTCTATGCAATTCTGACAGTGACCCTGATGCTGTGTATGGTGTAAACATGGAAGCATGCATTACTCAATACAGTGACCGTAAGTTTTCCCCCTTGCTTTTCAGTAACAGAGAATATAAATCCGTTTATTAACATCACATGTCTGTGATAGAGCATATCTTAGAACATATGCCCACTGAAACCATTTTTTCTCATTTCAATTAGATGATCACAAAACCAAGGGAAGTGGATTGGCTCCATGGCCAGCACGATTAACCTCTCCTCCTCCTCGGCTAGCTGATTTTGGATATTCCACTGACATGTTTGAGAAGGATACGGTATGTTTATGCCAATGATCTTATTTGTTGCAATCGAATCCCCAATGATGTAGAAACTGTACTAGTCACCTTATATTATTGCTTCCCCATTCAGGAAACTTGGAGGCAGAGGGTAGATACTTATTGGGATCTCTTGAGTCCTAAAATTCAATCAGACACTGTGAGGAACATAATGGACATGAAAGCAAACATGGGTTCGTTTGCTGCTGCTCTGAAAGAAAAAGATGTTTGGGTTATGAATGTTGTTCCTGAAGACGGTCCTAACACGCTTAAACTAATATACGACAGAGGCCTGATGGGCGCAGTTCATAGCTGGTCAGTCTCTCTTCTTAACCTGTCACTTAATCAAATTCATTAGTGTATATGTTTCTCTTATAATTTATTTTTATGATTTTGTCGCAGGTGTGAAGCGTTCTCAACTTACCCTAGGACTTATGATTTACTCCATGCTTGGGACATCATTTCCGATATCAAGAAGAGAGGTTGCAGCGCAGAGGATTTGCTGTTGGAGATGGACCGTATACTACGCCCAAGCGGCTTCATACTCATAAGGGACAAACAATCCGTAGTCGATCTTGTCAAGAAATATCTCAAGGCTTTGCATTGGGAAGCAGTTGAAACCAAGACGGCCACAGATTCAGACCAAGACTCGGACAGTGTCATACTTATTGTCCAGAAGAAGCTGTGGTTGACAAGTGAAAGCCTCAGAGATTTGGAGTAATGATGATGATGATGAGGCTTAAAAACTGCCTTCAACATGAAGAACAACATTCAGGAAAAGAGATTTCTTTATTGGGAGAGTCTAATCGAAACATACAACGAAGAAATTTCGTTTTATAGAGGCAATTTAACGTTTCTTTTTCTACTTTTGATATATTTCTTTCTTTACATATTCATATATGTTGTTTGTATGGTTCATTAGAGAGAACTACGTTTCCTATCAATTTAAAATCTTTTTTGGTGCAATTTATGTATTTAATCATTGATTAATAGATTTACAAACCAAATTGATTATTCATTAAACATAGAATCTACTATATTGAATATTAAAAATAATACTTCATATAACTCAATCCAAAACTCTAGGATGATTAGAAATCATTTCTTTACGCTCTTTAGAATATTTGTTATGATCGCTGGTAGAACATTAAATAACGAAGAAAAATTAAAGAAGCGTAATGGAAACAAAGGCACGCGTGTTATTTACTTAGTCCCATGATAGTCACAAGTTACTTTACTGTTGTTGGAAGAAATCTTTAGGTTTTGTCCCAAGCAAAATTGGGCGATAATGATTATATTAAGAGGGAAGAGGAAATAATTAAGTATAATTGCATTTGATGATTATATTTCGTTGGTCCAAAAGGAAACTAAACATGTGAGAGTGTTCTACAAATTTTGTCTTTGTGGACACAAAGTTGAAGCTGTTGTACACTTCTCTAAGTTAACTCCCATGATATTTGCCCCCACTTTTTTTTTTTGTTATATTCTATCCAAATAATTGGTCTTGAAATTTATTAGCCATGAGTCTATGACTATAACATCCATATTTTTAATTTTAATTATAGCTAGACTCGCACGGCAATAAATGTAAAAAAAAAAATCATTCTTTGTTTCTTGTTTTTTTAATTTATATTTGGAGGATCTATATAGATAGTAGGTCTTGTATACTTCTATCTAAAATAAATATTGGACGTCCATTTTCGTTTATCTTGGACTGCCTTCTTCTTCATTTTTTTGTTTTTGTATAGCTTGCACTCTTGACTCTTCTTAATTACAAGGAACAAGCAATTGCGAATTGATAAGCATGAAGATTTTATTGAGGTAGATGATAATTTTACGAGATCGATGTTATCCAAAAATGTAAACAGAACAGAGTATGAAAAATATTATTGGCATTTTACCAAAAAAACAAAAACTTATTGGCACAAATGTAAAGAGAGTATTTATTAGTTATTGTAACATTTAAGATAATTATACAATATATATATATATATATATGTGGTATGATAATAAATAAGATGTTGAATATTGGATATAGAATCATCGTCGCTGGAAATAAAATCTTTTTAATAACTTGAATATCCATGCCCTTGAACTTAAAAAAAAACTTGAATATCCATAGGAAAAAAATCATATTATAGAAAAAATGATATCTAGAAAATATGGTTGGAAAATATTTAATACTATATCAATATAGATAAATTTTCCATACGTTTTTCAATTCATTTGACTTACGTACTGCGATCCTTAACAGTTTCTTATATATACCAACATTTTATTTGTATACCAAATTACCAACATAATCATTGGTACGTACCGCAATTTTGTATAATTATATGACGATATAAACATGTAGAAAATTAAAACATATACTAATAGTGGTTAATTTCTTTTCTTTCGGTATGAACTATCGTTGGAACCACTGTAATTACACTTGTAAGCCGTTGCGTTATATCTAACTTTTTATAAATAGTATAAAACATTTAATATATTTCGGAAAATATTAACGTGATACATATACCTACAAAGTTTGGCAATACACATAATGGTCCCCTACGGCTACGTTACTCTCCCCCACCTCAAAGCTGTTCATAGTGGCCCTAAAAGATTTAGAAAATCAAATCCTTATCATCTCTGTTCTCTGAAAATATATTTTTTTCTTTCAAAAGATAAATGGGTCGAAGTTGCTTTTTTTTTCCCTTTCAAATCGTATTATTGTGGCGCCAAAAAAATGCAGATGTCACGTACATTACTTTGAAAGATAACTTCATTTAGCAAAAAATAATAATTTATCGAATCTTTATTTCAAATTCGAGTTCAGCATGTTTAGAGACTTGAACACAAATTAGTCATGAGATCTTATGAACAAGAAAAAAAAAACAAAAGTATTTATACTATTTTTACTTTATATAACTTGCAGTATCGACAAACTCTGATCACTTATATAAACACATCGTTTGATTCCTCAAATTCAAATTATTGAAAGTGTTTATTACGTGAGGAGATTTTTTTTTTGAAAAAAGTTAATAAAGCTAAGAGGTGAGGGGGGATAAGTAAGAAAATAAAGTAAAAAAGGAGTGGAATCTTGTATTTTGTTTCCGGTAAAGGAGTGGCATGTAGTAAGTAATATTATTGTATAAAATCACAAGTATGATGAAAAAAAAAAAATTACATAATTTTCTAGAAACACTAGAACATAATTTTCTAGCAACAGTAGAATATAAAATCATTAGATATAGTGAACTAATAGTAAATGACAAGAATTAACTTTTAGTGGTTCTTTTTTGCTTTTTTAACTAAATTTGTTTAGTGATTTATTATCTAATATCTATTATCAATAGTAAAGATTTGTTAATGAATTGAAGAGTCTGGCGAAAAGAAAAAATTAACAATGTTTTCTCCAAAATACCTTTACGTGATTTGGTAATTTCTGTAACGATTGGAAAAGAAAAGAGTATACTTCTACTGAGAAAATCACAAAAGAGCATTAGTTGTTGAAATCTTAGGACCATGGTGTTCACTTCAGAAATGCAACGTGGCGTGATGCGTATTGCGTCTCCGGCGGACATCAAGGCTTTTGAATCCTTTTTCGTTTCTTGCGTGTGTGTGTTTTCTTTGGCATGTTATCTTGTGTTAATGTTTTGTTATCTTGTGTTGATGTTTTGTTATCTTGTGTTGATCAAAACATCAGATATAATTGGTGAACCAATCCGTAGAACAAAAATCATAATAATAGCAAATAAAATTCGGGTAATGATATTTAGGAAATCAAAAGTTATTATTTGATGTGCACTTCTAGAAAAAAACGTGTTAGATAATACGAGTAATGTATAAATAAGTATATGTTATTGAGAAGTGTTTGACAATTTAGAGTAATTTTAAGAACATAGAAAAAATTGTGCATACATTCTTAAAAAATAAAATTATTTAAATGTTCAGATCTCTGGATAATTATCTGACCATACCTTACTCGTTGAGAAACTTGAGATAAATTATGTGAACATCCTAAAATTTATGTTACCTTTACTTGAAAAATTACTAATTTGTGGTAGATATATATAACGGAGAATGAATTCTTATGAAAAAATTATGCAGTTATAATCACGAAACAAATAAAAGGTTTAGAGTACAATCTAGATGAGTAACGTACTAGTGATTAGTGATCAGGCAACTGAATAGAGAAGTTTGGTGTTTTTGATCTCTTAACCACTTACCCGTAGATTATTCTTGTACTGGATATTTAAGTGGATAGTATGACCGACCATACAACCTAATATCAAAGGTCCAAGTAAAATAATGACTTATCCAGTTGTTTTGTAGAGTCGGATCTAAACATGTCTCAAACGGAGTTTTGGAGCCAATAATCTCTATATTATTATTTGAGTAGACATTTTAAAATATAATCTTTATTTTGTAAGATATTACATGATATGCCATTATAAATAACAAAGAATAATTAAAATAGAAAAGATAACAAAGAATAATTAAAATAGAAAAGAATATAGTTGTCTTTCAACTCTATTGCTAAAAATATGAAAAGTCTTTATTTCTCATTTAATAGAGTATATTTATTATTTAATTTCTAAATTCAAAAATCTGATAGTTTTTATAATTTCTATTTTCAAATGATATTATAAAGTATATTTAATTAAAAAACGTGAAAATAAATTTTTGAATTTAGAAATATTATAAAAGTCAAAATTAAAAGTTATGATATTAAAAAAGTGGTGAAGTGTTTTTTTTTCAATAATTTGCTACATTTGATTGATTATATACAAAATACTTTTCTAGTTATTTTATTGAAAATTTGATATGAAAAATTGATTTTTAAATAAAAAAAGTTTGTGGTGAAATGAGAGTTATTAAACAGTGAATATTATAATTAATTATTAAATTTTAATCCAATACAAATATGTTAAGTAAACGGGTTAGTTCGATATGAACAGATTATAATTTTAATTTTTTAATACCCACAAAAAAATCTCAAAATTCAAAATATTAATTTTTTAAAATAGGTAATATATTCAATCTACTAAATTATATATATTTTTAAATTAAATATAATTTGTTGTATATTTATTTATTATATATCAAATCTAAGTGTAAAGAATATTATATTATATTCATATATAGTTAAAAAGATAAAATTAAATTTTTATAGTTAGTGAACAGATTATAAATGTCAATTATTAAACTATGCAAATTAGAGTTGATGATTATAATATTATAATTTTTATATAATAGCCTAGATAATATTTTAGTTTAGTGCCAACGGGTTTAAAACAACTTATTTTGCTTTACACGCTTATAAAATAACTTCATATACGGATTAACTTATTTTTTATAATTCAAAAAAAAATATATATATATACAGATCAACTCATTATTTAAAATTCACAAAAATATACACTATATTATTGTAAACTTTATAACAATAACTGTTTTTACAAAATAACTATTTTCATCAAATTATTTAAATTAATTAAAAATTAAAAATATATCTTCCGCGCTATAGCGCGGGTTAATCCCTAGTTAAGATATAACATTAAGTAATTTGTTACACATATGAAATATGAAATATCAGTAAGTTATTAACTCAAACCTAAACGATAACATATCACATATGTCATTCTTTTAGTAAAATTCTCTTTTAGTAAATAGAATACATCATTTTTTTTGCTTTCATAATAGTTTTTTTTTTGGTCAAGCTTTCATAATAGTTTTTCAAGTTTTGTTTATCAAGGATAAAAAATTAAAAATCACTAATATAGTTTGGTGGACACTTGACAGATACCAAAATCTAGTTTCTAAAATCACTGATTGTTTGCCAATAACAAAAATTCTAATCACTTCTTTTTAAATAATGATTTTTAATAAAAGTTAAAATATTTAATATTGTTGTATCATGAAGTCATTGAAGTGGGTAAGCCGTGATCATCTAGTTTTAATATACTGTACGTCTTCGTTTAGATAAGGTAATTAATGTTTTATTTTAATGACTAAGATCTATACAATTAAACTCCTAATCCATTGTTTCTATGATTTGACATTAAACCAATCCCCAAAAAGGCTAAAGTCTAAATTTATTTGCCCAAAGAGAAGCAGAAGAAAGAGCAGTTGTTTGTTGCATTGTCTCTTTGTAATTTACACATCAAAAGCAACAAAAACTTCAAACTTTCCTTTCTCCTTTCTCTTTCACTGCAAATTTTTTCTTCTTACCCATAAAAATCGAAGAAAATCGAGGAATCAATTCCCTGGATTCGAGGGTTTCTTCCCCTTTCCTCTCTTACTTGAACTATTACCACAAAATCGCGCCTTTCTATCCTCTCCTGCTTTGTGTTTCCAATCCTCACGCTTTGTTCTTGAGAGGTCTTCAGTATATCTGCTTCATCTGAATTGTTTGATTTTGAGTTCTGCTGCATTTTCGTCGACTCAATTTCCCGCTTGATTCCTTAATTGACCTGGTACATTGAGTATGTTCTGTTATTTGCACATTCTGTTTTACTCTTTCCAAATCGATTTGCTATCGCTTTACCTTCGAACTGATCTAATGAGTTTGTTTTGGAACCTATGGCCAACTATTGGTGGGAAATTCTCAAAATTTGGTTTCAGATATGTGTTTGATTTGGGAACATACTGTTAGGGCTGGCTAGTGATGAAAGTTTAGGAAACTGGTGAGAGAAAAAGGTGCCAACTTTTTACTCGTTTACCAACTTGGCTACTAGGCACTAGGGACTAGGCATCTGATTAACAATTCAATGCTCAGACATATGATTGAGTCTTTTTGTTTGTGTTCAAGGTTATGGTTTACTCAAAATAGCAATAGTAGCAGCTAATTATGTCGTCTTATTCAGTAATCCATCTCCATGACCTGGTCAATTTGCGTTTATGTTTTGCGTTTACTAAACTATTCTTCAACATACTTTTTTTGTGCTTACTGCAAGTGTAATACGTGTTCATGTAAGCACAATGGGTCAAAGTGTCAAACATTGTTTTGTTGAATCGAATATGCTCTTTTAGATTTGTCGTTGGAGTCACTGCTAGCTCTTATATGTTATCTTGTTGTAGGTGCAAGGCGCTAGAGACACCTGTCCGGTCGTATGACATATGAATATTGCTGTACATAGCTGGAGTAGACGTCATAGTCCGAGCAAATCAAACTCTCCGCTGACTTTTGAGTAAGGAGCATATCTAGATTTTTGGTTTGGAATCGACTTAAGGGAAGCGATGGATATTGCCAGAGCTTGGCTGAAGAAGTTAAAGTCTAAAGGGAAGGATAAATCCTCGAAAAGGAAGGAAACTACTAGAGGCAATGTAAAGGAGGGATCAAAAGCAGTTGGAGGTGAAGAAGCTGTGTCAAATGCAACAAAGCAGAAGGCTGCAGCTGCGAAACAGTATATTGAAAATCACTACAAAAAACAAGTGCAAAGTCAGCAGCAAAGACAAGAGCGGTATGGTTTCATCACATATTTTCAAGCTAAATAATGAAGTTTTTCATTAGCATCCAAATTCGTGACGCTTGCACAAGTTTCTGACAGAATTTTTTTCTGTCAGCATTATATTGGTCCTGGTTTTCAATTTTTGGTTGCAAAGTTAGAAGGTAGTCAATGGTCTTGTTGATGATTAGGATTAGAGAAATTAGTTAGCTCTAGAGTTAACTATCTTTATGAGAGATTTATTTGTCCGATTTGTCAAGGTAAAATTTGGTATATGACATATCTTTATGTGAAGCTTGCCGTCTCTTTTGACTCTTTTATCGGTAATTTTACCTAAGCACTTTTTTTGGGTAATTACATATGATGCAGACGCAATATGCTGGAAAATAAGTTAGCAGCTGCAGAAGTCTCTGAGGAAGAGCAAAAGAATTTGCTTAAGGATTTAGAGAAGAAGGAAACTGAATACATGCGCCGTCAGAGACATAAAATGGGAACTGATGACTTTGAGCCATTGACAATGATAGGAAAGGGCGCTTTTGGAGAGGTAGCACTAATCTTACTGTAATTTTGTTTTTCTGCCATATTTAGTAGATCACTATTTTTTTTTTCAGTTTTTCATTGACGTGTATATCTGCACATCATGTATATTTTCTGAAGATGAAAGTCTGTAATATTTAGCCTCCTTGAAGTGCTTGCACCAATAGATTCAATGCAATATGCAATATGCAGTATTTCTTTTATTCGTTGATCTTTAGTTGACTAGTAGGCTGTATGCTTTATGGCACCTGAGAATAAATACAACTTTTCTTGAAAATCAGACTGTTTTCTAGTTTTAAGCATGGGTCATACACAAGTTAGCTCTAGGTGTTGGATATGGCAGTTTTTGGTTCTCTTATGATTTTGTTTCTATCTTGATGCAGGTTAGGATATGTAGGGAGAAGGGAACAGGTCATGTCTATGCAATGAAAAAGCTTAAGAAATCTGAGATGCTTCGTAGAGGCCAGGTATCTCTTTCAAGGTGCCTTTATTTGAGATATCTTCTTGTGTTCTATCAACGTATTTGTTGAAATCTGATTTTCTGTGTCAGGTGGAACATGTAAAAGCAGAGAGAAATTTACTCGCAGAGGTGGACAGCAATTGCATCGTGAAGCTGTATTGTTCTTTCCAAGATGAAGAGTATTTGTATCTTATTATGGAGTATCTACCTGGTGGGGATATGATGACGTTACTTATGAGGAAAGATACACTTACTGAAGATGAGGCAAGATTTTATGTCGGGGAAACTGTCTTAGCTATTGAGTCCATTCATAAGCATAACTACATCCACAGGTCTAGTGAAGCAATCAGGCTATATGAATTTGATACTGTATTCATTTTTTTTTCGTTTTCGGTTCTAAAGTATGAATTAACTTCTCCATTTGGTTACAGAGATATCAAGCCTGATAATCTGCTACTCGACAGAAGCGGTCACATGAAATTATCAGATTTTGGATTATGTAAGCCATTAGACTGTAGTGTTCTCCAGGAAAAGGATTTTACAGTTGCACACAACCTTAGTGGGGCTCTACAAAGTGATGGTCGCCCTGTGGCACCGAGACGCACACTCTCCCAGATGGAACAACTGCAAAACTGGCAGAAAAATAGAAGGATGCTTGTGAGTGTTATGTTATGCAAATCAGTCTTTTCTTGCTCTGTGATATCCACTTTTACAAGACTGAAGAAACGGTCATTAATATACTCATCTTGTGGAAGTTTTCCTCTCTGTTGATATAGAAGGTTCTGTTGAAATATAGCTTATTAAGTTGATTTTTTTAATTGATTGCAGGCTTATTCCACAGTTGGAACTCCTGATTATATCGCCCCAGAAGTTTTGCTGAAGAAAGGTTATGGAATGGAATGTGATTGGTAGGTGCATCAAAACTGTTTGGTCTTGTTCGTTTTTGTTTCTTCAGTTCAAGTAGTTATTGTTGATGAAATATTTTTTTGCGTTTATTCCTTTAGGTGGTCTCTTGGTGCCATTATGTATGAAATGCTTGTGGGATTTCCACCATTTTATTCAGATGATCCAATGACAACTTGTAGAAAGGTAACAATTTCCACTTGTATGGGCCTTATATATAAAAATCCGATTTTGACTCCGTTCTAGTGATCTCAAAATTTGCATTCTATTCCCCTCTTGATCTGCTTATGGCTTCTCTTTGGTATTACTTCTATGCGCACCTTTTCATGTTTCATCTCTGAATACCTTCCTTTTTATTGCAGATAGTAAATTGGAAAAATTATTTGAAATTCCCGGAAGAGGTTAGACTATCACCTGAAGCCAAGGATCTTATCTGTAGACTTTTATGCAACGTAGAACAAAGGCTTGGAACAAAAGGAGCAAATGAAATTAAGGTACTGTGTGCTTTTAACAGCTTTAAGATTTGAAGTTCCTCTGTGTAAAGACTATTGACAGTCACCTAAAAAACGTTTTTTTGCTGGCATTTCTTCTAGGATCATCCTTGGTTCAGAGGTGTCGAATGGGGAAAATTATATCAAATGAAGGCTGCTTTTATTCCACAAGTCAATGACGAGTTGGACACCCAAAATTTCGAAAAATTTGATGAGGTAAACTATAAGTGATCCTATGAGAAAGATGGTTGAAAATATATAAAAATAGATGGCACCATTATTGATGCGTGTAGATGAATTCTTTGATTCCTTCTTTAACAGACTGACAAACAAGTTCCAAAGGTGACAAAATCAGGTCCATGGAGAAAGGTAACAAAATTTTCTTGCAAAGAGAACTTTCATGTGACAACAATCTTCAAAAAAGGGGTTGCTTGAAGTCATGCATATATACACTCTGTTGTCATTAGCATTCTTAACTTGAGACTTGCTTTTGTTTTATTCTTCAGATGCTCTCATCCAAAGACATTAATTTTGTGGGTTATACTTACAAGAACGTTGAAATCGTAAATGATGATGACCAATTACAAGGGATAGGTAAATCTCACTTACATAACTAATTAAGTTGACTTGTGAGTAAACATTGCATGTTTGCTCTGTTGTAATTTGTTTTGTGTTACTGATGTAGCTGAGCTGAAGAAGAAGAGCACAAAGCCAAAGCGGCCATCAATTAAATCTCTTTTTGGTAAATGAGTTTGCCATCTAAACAAATATCTGTTTGATAATGATTACATAGCTAACATTATTACTATCTATTTCAATTCATCATCTCAGGATTGCTTGATACTATCATATGTATTAGCTCTCTAACTAGATTGTAAAAAAAAACATTTGACAGAGGATGAATCAGCGAGTGGCACAACAAGTTACCAAGGAAGCTTCTTAAAACTCTTGCCAACGCAAATTGAAGTTCCAGAGAAAGAAGGCAAATCCAGCTCATCCGGGTGACAAAGGCACAAGCCTAAACCAGCTCTTTGATTCAATCTTTAGTTTGTCATATGCATTGGTTTTTGGTCGAGATTGAATGATTAATTTTGAATAGATATATACTATAGTAAGCCTATTAGTTGGTTTTAAGCACTTGCTTTGAAGTGAGTAGCAAACTCAACAAGTGGGAAAGTTAGGACCGTGGTGGTTTCGCAAGTATTTGTATATACATGGTTCATTCTTTTGTGGGTGAGTTTTTGATATCAAAACAGAATGTGAACAAGCTTGTGATAATTAACAAAGCATTGTTAACTAGAATGATGATAAAGTAAAAGAAGTAACTTGTGATTTGCAACTATACAGAATCAAGACATAGCATTCCAAAAAAAAACTACAAAAGAGATTCTATACAAAGAAAAAGAGTTTAAAATTTAAAATTTTATACACCTATATTTTGAATTGTAAGAGACGATATAGACATTAAGATCCTTAGATAGTTAGATTGTTAAAACTAAAACCATGAATGATTCATCAACTTAATTGAAAATAACCTAACCGTGTAGTTTTGAGCAACTATTTGAGGCAGCGAAAATTTGAAGTTTAGATTTGAGAATGACACTAAACGTTCTATGAACAATCTTGGATGATTTTTGACTCGAACACATTCATCAAACAGTAGCAGCAAGAGCCTTGACAAACTTATAGCCTATAGGAACTGTGAGAACATGATCAAACCACTCAACTATTCCCCAAATCTCACAGCTTTTGCGTCTCTCAAGCGCAATTTCCGCACACCAAATCATCTTCTGGCTACCCAAATTCTCTTCCCAAAATACCGCCATCTTACCTCCATGATCAGCCAATCTGACAGTACCAGGAAGAGGCAATTTACCTAGACCTACCAAACCTTTCAATTGTTTCCACATTCTCACCTCAGTGTCATACCATCTGAATCCTCCAAATGGAGCAGAGTACAAAACATTCTCTATCTCGCAATAACAATCCAAAAACATATAATTACCTCTTCTTGTTTCAACGTTGTCCCATCTACCTTCCTTGGAATTGTAAGCAACCATGTCTCCGCAAGCCACCACGTTAAACTTTCCGTCAATACATGAGCTTCTCGAGTTATAGAAACTGTGTTTTGTGTAGCTGCAAGGAAGCTCAGGATCCCAAGTTTTTGTTTTTGTGTCCAACACCTCGAACGAGTTCTTCTTCGCGTATAGGCAAGAGTTTCCTGCTACATATATCTTTCCATCAACGACGCTAGCAGAAAGTGAAGTTAGCTCCACCTGCATGTTTGGAGCCTCGTGCCACGTGTGAAACCGACAGTCCATAACCAAGACGCTAGAGGATGGCTTAAAGTCGTATCTGCTTTTGCATCCGATGTTGTAGATATCAGAACCAACGGCCACAAGACACGAAAAGTAGGCAGGAGGAGAATGAAGAAACGGGACTCTAGCCAAAACATATCCACTTGACTTCTTGTTCAAGCTAGTGTCATTGGTTAGGGTTTTATCAGGTTTCCGGCAGAGGGTGAACCAGCGATTATCATAAGAGGATGCTAAGTACACATAGAGACAACTCTCGGTGTGACCCTGTAGTGACCGGGCCTTGTAAAGCTCCGGTGAAGCAAGGAGAGATCGAAAGCTCTTGGAGACTAGGGAGAGAGTCGGATAGTACAACCTTGACACTCGTGCCATGCAGCTCATTAGCAAATCATCGGGAAGCGACGTAAACGACGTTGATTGTGGCAACGGAGAGAGCACATTCTTCTTTTCCGGGGACGACATTGACGCGATACAAACGAAATCGAAATCGAAATCGCTTTTAGGTTAAGGTTTCAAAATTTTTAAAAAGCTTTTTATAACCAAAATCCATTGTAACTACTACGTGAAGAAACTTTAGTTGTAATAGATATTTATTTGGGGCTCAAGCCCACTTTATAATTTTAAGAAATCATTGTTAATTACATAATAAATAAACTGGACTAAGTTGTGATTTGCATTTATACATGATCAAAATGATCAAGACAACAACAAATTTTATACAAAGATACAGCTAAATTTTTGAATTGTAAGAGATAATTGATATTAAAGATTATAAGATCCATAGAATGCAAAATCTAAAACCATGAATGATTCAACGTAATCATCAAATAATTAAGGCTTAATGCGGATGCGGAAAGAAGAATTAGAAATAGAGAATAGCTTAACCGTATAGATTTTCATTTGAGCAACGTTCTATGAACAATCTTGGATGATTTTTTTGACTCGAGGTCTCGCCGTTTATTTGATAACCATTTATTTTCTATTTGCTGTGATTTGTCTCGCTAAATAACACTGTACGTAGATTGTTTTTCTTCCACTGTTGATCAATATGCTTTCTAGTTATAGCTTTTGCATATGTCTTTCTTTGCAAAAATGTTACTTAAATCAATAGTGTCACAGGAAGACGCTTGAGGTAAAACCCAGTATTAGTATACATATTCATTTGAATTTCTGGCATGACAGTATATATGCGTACATGGAACTTGTAGGATTTGGATTTTGACAGAAGGCATTTATGGTGTAGTGCCTGTAAACTTCTTCCAGAAGATCTAGTCGAGGCCTGATCAGCAATCCATACCTTTCTGATTCATGTAACTCGACATTAATCATTAATGTCATGTGAAGATCAATGTGCATGCGATCTATATCATGACAAGGATTGTCACTCCTTGTGAAACTTGATTTATGTAATATCTCAACGTCTTCGATGGCACATAACAGTTAATCTATACTCTCAAAGATTATATTGACTCTATTGTCAAAAGACACGGGTGCCTATGTGAGCAGAAAGTATCCAACATATAAAGACTCTTTGCTATTTTGAACGAAAAGGGAGAAAATAGAATAAAACATGAGCATTTCCTACAAAAATACGAAGCACGTTTGGTCTTTGAATTGATCAAACCTCATTGTAACTTGACCAAAAAAATAAAATAATAACAGGAAAAAAAGAAAAGGCTAAACGAGAAAATACCAAGGAAGCTTCTTGAAACTCTTGCCTCTAGCGTTGGTCAAGAACACACACATCAATCTTATCAAGAGGAACATGATAAAAAAACCACTAAACTTTTCAGCAAGGAAAACATGATCAAACCACTCAACTTTTCAAACCAAAAGAACATAATATCTTAGTTAAAGCCCCACAAGTAAGGCATTCCTCAAACGGTAGCAGCAAGAGCCTTGACGAAATCATAGCTTCTAGGAACTGTAACCACAAGATCAAACCACTCAAGTTTCCCCCAAATTTCACAGTTTTCACCCCAAAATACACAACTTTTGCAAATCTAACACCATAATCAGCAAATCTAACAAAACCATAAGATAACTCAGGTAGCCCTACCAAACCCTTCAAATATCTCCATATGTTTGACTTGGTGTCATACCATCCGACCCCTCCATTGAAAACAGAGTACATAACATTCTCTATCTCGCAAAAATTATCTGAAAGAAAACGACGCCACGTCCTTGGTTCAAGCTGGTCCTCCTTGGAATTGTAAGCAACCACATTTTCGTTAGCCACCATGTTAACATATAAGTCTCCCATGTTTTTTAAACTGTATTTTATGTCGATGGGCGGCTACCAAGTTTTTGTCTTTGTGTCCAACACCTCAAATGACTCATCCAAGGAATCTTTACGTAATCCTGCTACATATATCTTTCCATCAACTACGCTAGCACAAGGTTCAATCAGCTCCAAAGGCATGCTTGGAGCCTCGTGCTACGTGTGAGACCGACAGTCCATAACCGAGACGCTAGAAGAGTTGGATCCGATGTTGTAGATTTCAGAACCAACCGCCACAAGGCCCGAAAACTCTGCACGAGGAGAATGAAGAAACGGGACTCTAGCCAAAACATACCCACTTGACTTCTTCTTCAAGCTAGTGTCATTGGTTAGGGTTTTATCAGGTTTCCGGCAGAGGGTGAACCAGCAATTATCAGAAGAGGACGCTAAGCACAAATAGAGACAACTCTCGGTGTTTCCCAGGATTGACCGGGCTTTGTAAAGCTCCGGTGAAGCAATGAGAGATCGAAAGCGCTTGGAGACGAAGGAGAGAGTCAAATAGCACAACCTTGACACGCGTGCGAAGCAGCTGATTAGCAAATCATCGGGAAGGGGTGGATTTGACGGTGATTGTGGAGTTGGTGAGGGCACATTCTCCTTCCTCTTCTTCTTATCCGGGGAGGACATTGATACTAAGTAACGAAGACGAAGTCGCCTTTCTTTTAGGTTAAATTTTTGAATTTTCCAAAAGCTTTTTATAACCAAAATCATTGTCATGGTTACCACTTTCCTTTTTTTTGGGGAGGCAAAAAGAAAAAAGCTTTGCAAAGACATTTATTTGGGCCCAAACCCATTTTCCAAAGCTCAGTCAATTTCTCAAAAAAAAAAAAAAACTCACGCATTTGGTGTTGTATTATATACCTGGTTTGATTATATTTATTCAAAAACAGTTGCTGTGAAAATTGTACATCTAAAGTAATAAAAAAACTCAGTCTACATAGTCTTTGTGTTGTTTGTTAATAGTTTATGTTTGTGTTTTGTTGTTCTCTTTATGAAATTATGTCTCTCAAAGATCCAGGTTAATTAGCTGGTTTCAGTGAGCTTTGTCTCAAGAGTTTCTATGGTAATTTAATATGTGAACTTTGCATTCCACTGTATATTTGGACTTGTTTATTCTAATGAAGTTCACATGAAATGAAAAAAGTAACCAAACACAATCTAAATGTGACAAAAAAAAAACTTAATTAATTAGCAAAAAATAGTTTGACCAAAGCGATTAGGGATAAAATGGAAAGTATATATATATATATATATATTTTTTTTGAATCTATAAAATAGAAAGTATTGGATATGGATTTAACCAAGATTGCTCTTTGATTCAATCTTCATATATATTTTTTTTATATGCAATTGGTTTGGGATCGAGATTAAATGATTAGTTTTGACTCTACATATATAACTAACCTATTATGTTGTTGGTTTGGCACTTGTTTGTACAGCAATGCAACGATATCTCGAGTGTGTATATTAACGAAAGCCAATAGCCATTAATGTTCAGAATGCATTCTACTTTCCTATTCCGAAGCTGTATGTCGTATTTGTTCTTTGGTATTTGTTCTTCTTGATCTTTCAGACAATAATAACACATAAAAAATAAAATATACATGTATGTGATATATTCATACTTTTAGTTTATAATATTAATACATGGTTAACTAAGTATGGTATACGTCTGTACGAATTATGATCAACCACATGTACACATACAAATATGACATATATATACCATGACGAGATAATCAGATCTACAAATACAAACAAAACAGATAATTGAATCAAGATTTTGATATGATTTGCATTAAATTGTCAAATTCGATGTTACTGAAACATGGATTTAAGAAAGAAAACTTTTATGTTCCAATATATTTGATCTATATTTGAAACATGGATTTGATTTATTTTTTAAACCTTTTGGTATTTTGAATGAAAAGGGCTAAGCGAGAACAGATAAATGTAGTGTGCATCCAATAGAATTGCTTGATCCTAGCTATCATATGATTTAGCTCTAACGAGATCGTAGAAAAAAAAAACATTTGACAGAGGTTAAATCAGCTAGTTGCACAACAAGTTATATACTAACGAAGCTTCTTGAAACTCTTGCCCCTAGCAGTTTTGTTCAAGAAGAACGCTCACATCAATATTACCAAGAAGAGTTAAGATGATCAAACCTCTCAACCCTAAGCCTTGTGAGGCATTCATCAAACAGTAGCAGCAAGAGCCTTGACAAACTGATATCCTATAGGAACTGTAAGAACATGATCAAACCACTCAACTATTCCCCAAATTTCACAGCTTTCGCCCCAAATTTCCCAAAATTTGTGCCTTTTAAGCATAACTACCGCACACCAAATCATCTTCTGCTCACTAGAGAGCAAATACTCTTCCCAAAAAACCGCCATCTTACCACCATAATCAGCCAATCTAACAGAAACAGCAGGAGGAAACTTAGGTAGTCCTTCAAAAACCATCAAATATCTCCATTTTTGTACCTTGGTATCAAACCATCTAATCGCTCCCTCACCGGCAGAATACAAAACATTCTCTATCTCGCAATAAGTATCTGAAAACAACTTATCACACATCCTTAGTTCAACCTGGTCCAATCTACCTTCCCTGGAATTGTAAGAAACCAACTTTTCGCCAGCCGCCACCACGTAAAACCTTCCGTCTGCCGCCACGTGAAACTTTCCGTCAATACATGCGCTTCTTGAGTAATAAAAACTGCATCTTGTCTCGTTGCAAGAGATGGGCACATGATCCCAAGTTTTTGTTTTTGTGTCCAACACCTCCAGTGAGTTCTTATCATCACTACCTCTTCCTGATACATATATCTTTCCATCAACGACGCTAGCAGAAAGTGAAATCAGCTCCACAGGCATGCTTGGAGCCTCGTGCCACGTGTGAGACCGACAGTCCATAACTGAAACGCTAGAGTTGTTGATGATGGATCTTGATCCGATGTTGTAGATATCAGAACCAACTGCCACAAGACTCGGAAAGTACGCAGGTGGAGAATGAAGAATCGGGACTCTAGCCAAAACATACCCACTTGACTTCTTCTTCAAGCTAGTGCCATTGTTAATTAGGGTTTGATCAGGTTTCCGACAGAGCGTGAACCAGTGAGAATCATATTGGGATCCTAAGCACAAGTAGAGACAACTCTCTTCGTGTCCTAGAAGTGACCTGGCCTTGTAAAGCTCAGGTGAAGCAAGGAGAGATCGAAAGTGCTTGGAGACGAGGGAGAGAGTCGGATAGTATAACCTTGACACACGTGCGAAGCAGCTCAGAAAATCATCAGGAAGCGACGGAACCAACATAGATTGCGGAGTCGGTGAGAGCACCTTCTCCTTCTCCGAGGACGACATTGAAGGAATAAACAAAAACGAGAATCGCCTTTTAGGTTAAGTTTTTGAATATTCCAAAAGCTTTTTATAACCTAAATCATTGTAATTAGATATTTATTTGGACCCAAGCCCACTTTGCAATGCCCCAGTCAATTTCACACAAAAATTCACCAACGTCGATTAAATTATACCCGGTTTATGCACCAGGAAATTTTTATTTGATTGAATCTCATAAAAAAAAAGGATGCATGTGAAATATGTAAAACCTAAAGTAAAGAAACTCAATCTATATGACCAAAAAAAAAACTCGATTAAGTACAAAAGGATAAGTGGAAAGTATTGGAAATGAATTTGAGTCATTTGATTCAATCGTTATTTTATCATATGCATTTATGTTTTTGGGTAGAGATTAAATGATTAATTTTGAATCTGTATATATCAAACCTATTATGTAGTTGGTTTAGCAATTTTTTGTACAGCAATGCAAAGATGCGTGTTGTCAAGTGAGGATTATAGCTTAATCTCTCTCGCACACTCTCGCAACTTGAATCGATTTAAGGAAATGAGAACAGAAAAGTAGTAAATCAGAAACGAAAGAACACAGGAAATTAACGAGTTCAGGTCCCTAACTGGATCCCTACTTCTCGCCTGTGATCTCACACCATGAATCCACTATCTCCAGGTGAACTCAGCCTTTCTTTACAGATAAAACGTGAGGAATGTGTGACTAATGAGAGAAAGACATTTGTCGATAGTGGATCTACCTATCAAGACCCTCTTGACGAGTCTGAGTCTTCAACACACTTGACTTAGCCAATATGCAGGTTTGTGTTGACTTCACATGAAGCTTCATAACTTGGCTTCTCCTTCTCTTGATCTCTGTCTATATTCTTCATGTGTGTATCTAGCGATAGAGTTCAAAATGCATTCTTCCTTCCTATTCCAGGAAGCTTCCTATTATGTAGTTGGTTTAGCCCTTGTTTGTACAGCAATGCAATGTTATCTCAAGTGTGTATCTTAATGAAAGCCAAGGATCTTATATGTAGACTTTTATGCAACGTAGAAACAAGGTTTGGAACATATGAAATTAAGGAACTGTTTGCTTTAAACAACTTTAAGATTTGAAGTTTCCTTGTCTAAACACTAACGGTAGATGCTTAATACAAATGCTTTTTCCTGGCTTTCGAATGGGGAAAAATGATATCAAATGGAGGCTGCTTTTATCACCCAAGTCATAACGAGTTGGTCTTGTGTAAACGCAGGAGTTTTAGTTCAAGAACAACAACACAATTTAACACAGAGTTTTTCTTTTAACTGAAATTTATTGCTAATAAATCTGTTAATAAACCTTACAAGTTTCTAACACGATTTATGACAGACTCAAGACACATCTTGATCTGCCGTCCTAGCTTTTTCCGTTTTTCGATCTGTACTTGATCTCAAAACTCCCCTAAAAAAATCTTTAACCCTTGATGCAGATCCTAATACCCGAATCCCTCACCCTTATGTTAAATGCTCTCTAGTAGTTGTGTTAAGCATATACATTGCTTCAACACGTCTACTTATACCTAGTAGACTATGCGGCTATACTCGCCGAAAACCCTACACCACAGCTTCCATTTTTGTCGCTTGGTGCATATTTCCTATTTCCTTAAACTTTTGCATGTTTAAGGAAATCTTCTATTTTTCCTGATCTGTTCCGCTATTCCTATCCAGCTTTGCTTTCTTTCCAAGACTCCCATTCCTACTCGTCCAGTTCAGCTACTCGTCCAGCTCCTCATTCCAAATGTTTCGCTTGTCACGTATTTCATGTCTGGGGTATTCCATCTTTCACTTCATCTGGTACAGCAACTGCTTAAAGCACAGCTACACCTTCAACCTACACACCTAAAATTTTGAAACATTTGATGAGGTAAACTAGTGATCCTATGAGAAAGATGGTTAAAATATATATAAATTAGTTAACTAAGTTGACTTGTCGTTAAACATTGCATGTTTTCTCTGTTGTAACCTTGTGTTGTGTTACTATTGCAACTGAGTTAAAGAAGAAGAGCGCAAAGCCAGAAGGCCATCAATTAGAACCCTTTTTGGTAAATGAATTTTTTTATCTAAACAATAATCATCTGTTTAAAATCTACTGTAAAACCTCTATAAATTAATAATGTCATGACCATGATATTTTATTAATTTATCGTGATATTAATTTAGAAACCAATTAATTTATTTATAAAATTAATAATTATTAATTTATAGATAAAATTTGTTTTCTGCCTATAATTGTCTAAAACGTTCTTTGGAATAATGTTATATTTTAAAATTTTAACAAATTTTATAATGTAAATTATGGTTAACAATCATAAATATCGCAATAAAATAGTTTTTAATACTATATTGGATTGTCTATGTAAAAATATATATGTTCATACGTTTAAAATTTATAAAAAGATTATGGCTATTATTCAAATATTGATGATAAAATTGAAAATAACACTACAATACATTTAAAAATGTTTACAGGTAACACTACAATATATTTAAAATTTACTGATTACACTACAATACATTTAAAATTTATAAAAGACCATGACTACTATCTGTATTATTGATGATAAAATTGAAGATAACACTACAATACATTTAAAAACATTTATAGGGTAAGAAAATCAATTATCATATCAAAAAATATTATAAATAATGTATATCGTAAACACCAATAAAAGCTACTGATATAATAATTAGAGAGATAAGATTCAAAGAGATTTCAACCTTAAGTAAAAACAAACATATTAGTCAAATTTTAGAATATTATAATTACATATATTTGCATAAATGTATATAATTATTAATTTATGTTTTTGTTGGGACCATATAATTACATAGGAGTTTCAAAACAATTATTATCTTATTATCTTATCGAATTTGATGGATTTTTATATTGACCCGACTTGGAACCAGCAAAAGTTATTAATTTATAATAATTATTAATTTATTGAGTATTAATTTATAGATGTTCTACTGTATTTACAAATAAGATGATGTTCTTGGTTTACTAAAAGACATTAAATAGCTAACATTATTACAATCTATTTCAATTCATTATCTCAGAATTGCTTGACACTATCATATATTTTAGCTCTCTCTAACAAGATTGTTAAAAAAAAGGCATTTGACAGAGGATGAACAGCGAGTGGCACCGCAAGTTACCAAGGAAGCTTCTTGAAACTCTTGCCACCACAGATCGAAGTTCCAGAGAAAGAACACAGTATCCAGCTCATCCGGGTGACAATGGCACAAGCCTAAAACAACCGAATAATTAATATTTAGTCCACTGCAAAACAAGTTAAGTAGACAGGTTAGTGCAATTTGATTATTCCATCTTTCATCATTCAGGCATATTTTTAAATTCAAAACAATTTTTAAAAAAAAATATTACTCCACGTTATTTAGTTCGCACTCGTTAATTCCTAGTTGAATACATATGCAGAACCAAGATTAAGCAGAAGCCACGACATAAAGCAGGATCTGTATTTTTGAATTGGAGTCTTCGAAGAGCTCTTGCGAACTCGCTGAAATAATAAGATAAGTGGTAAGATTTTGATCCTAATTTTGTTCCTCCATTATATATTGATTATACACATTTATCTGATTCCAAATTGACATGATTTGACAAAGGCGTGAGAAGGAATTTTTAACTGAAGTTATTGATGGTGTAGTGCCTGTACTGTCAAGTACTTCTAGAAGATCGAGTCATGGCCTGATCGGCAATCCATACCTATCTGATTCAGATAACTCGGCATTAATGTACATGTGAAGATTAATGTGCATTCGATCTTTATGACAATGATTATTACTCCTTGTGAAACTTGATTATGTAATATGTCAATGTCTTCAATGGCACTTAACAGTCAATCTAAACGTTCAAGATTATGTTGACTTCGTTGTCAAAAGACATTGGTACCTATTGTCAGCAAAAGGTAACCAACTGATAAAGACTTTTTAATATTTTGAACGAAAAAAAATTATTAATAAAAAAACATGAGCGAGATTCAAAAGTATTAAACACATTTGGTCCTTGAACTGATCAAAGCTCGTTGTAACTTGACAAAAAAAAAACCGTAAAAAGAAAATAAAACACTAAGCGAGAACACAAATGGTAGTGTTGTTGAAGTCTTTCACGTTACTCATTATAATATACATAACTCTATTTCCAATTAGTTGTCTGATGCTTTCATATAAAATTTCCAAAAGCTTTTCTTTTATTTCTTTTGACATAAAATGATTAGAATTGAAACAAGAGACGAGAGAGTACATTCAATCCTTCATCATAGTTGCATAGACCAAAAGAACACACGCAATTGGCAATAAAAAAAAAGATATTACCAAGAAAGAAGAACGCGTAAAATTTGTGACGCATTCATCAAACGATAGCAGCAAGAACCTTGACGAAATAATATCCTTTAGGAACCGTAAGCACATAATCATACCACTCAACTTTTCCCCAAATTATATGATTCTTGCGCCTTTCAAGCATAATTTCCGCACTCCAAATCATCTTCTCGCCACTAGAGGGAATATCCTCCTCCCACAAAACCGCCAACTTACCACCATAATCAGCCAATCTAACAAAATAACAAGGAGGTAACTTAGGTAGTCCTACCAAACCCATCAAATCTCTCCACTCTTTTGCGTTGGTGTCATACCATCTGATCGCGCTCTTGAAAGCAGAGTACAAAACATTCTCTATCTCGCAATAACAACGTAAAAACATATAATGACACATCCTTCGTTCAACCTGGTCCCATCTACCTTCCTTGGAATTGTAAGCAACCGCATTTTTGTCAGCTGCCAGGTGAAGCCTTCCGTCAGACTCAGCTACCATGTGATATCTTCCACCAGCCACCACGTGAAACTTTCCGTCAATACATGAACTTCTGGAGTGAGAAAAACTGCATTCTGTCATGCTGCAAGAAATGGGTGGCTCAGGATCCCAAGTTTTTGTTTTTGTGTCGAACACCTCGAACGAGTTCTTCTTGGCGTATATGCCAGAGCTTCCTGCCACATATATCTTTCCATCAATGAAGCTAGCAGAAAGTGAAGCCAGGCCCACCCGCATGCTTGGAGCCTCGTGCCACTTGTGAGACCGACAGTCCATAACCGAGACGCTAGAGGAGGTAAGGTCGTATCTGGAATTGGATCCGATGTTGTAGATATCAGAACCAACCGCCACAAGACTAGGAAAGTACGCACGAGGAGAATGAGGAATCGGGACTCTGGCCAAATAATACCCACTTGACTTCTTCTTCTTCATGCTGGTGTCATTGGTCATTATGGTTTGGTCAGGTTTCCAGCAGAGGGTAAACCAGTGAGTATCAGAATATGACGTTAAGCACACGTAGAGACAACTCTCGGTGTGGCCCTATAGTGACCGGGCCTTGTAAAGCTCCTGTGAAGCGACGAGAGATCCAAAGCTCTTGGAGACAAGGGAGAGAATCCGATAGTACGACCTTGACACACGTGCTAAGCAGCTCATTAGCAAATCATCTGGAAGTGATGGATTTGACGTTGGCTGCGGAGTCACCTCCTTCTTTTGCGACATTGACAAGAAGAAAATATTAGGTTAAGTTTTCGAATTTTCCAAAAACTTTTTATAAACAAAATGATTGTAATAGTGCTTTACTGCTTACCAGTTACCACTTTCCATTACGTGAATTTCCCTTTTTCTGACAAAAAAAAAAGAAATTTCCGTCTCAGTTGAAATAGATATTTATTTGGGGCCAAGCCCACGTTGCAATGCACACTCAGTTTCTAAAAAACCCCATGTCGATAAATTATGGAAATAAGAGTATGTATTATATTTTGTTCGGCTAAAGTTTTATACCCTGTGGTAAGAAATCTTCCTAGGGATATCGCCGCAGCTCTTTTGAACTTGACACCATGGACGAATCCGCCGACAAAGTGCTGGAAGTGAACAGTAGTGATGCAGCCACTCCAAAAAGAAAAAGACGGTAAGAAAAAAAAAAAAAAAAAAAAAAAAGACGGTAAGTTGATTGTTTGAGATTTGTATCTGTATAGATGTGTTTGTTCTTGTCACGTTGATATAATATTGCAAGTAACTTTGGTAGGATTAAACCTTTTTGTTCAAAAGAAAAAAACATTGGGAGGATTAAGGTTTAGGGATATGACATGTGGCTTCCTCGTGATGATGTCGAGAGCGCGTTGAGAAAGCACTTCTCTTCATGCGGAGAGATCACGGATGTCTATATTCCCACATCGGATAGTGCTCTCTATAGGTCTGGTTATATTTATTTTGTGGGATAAGGTGCAGTAGACAAGGCACTGCAACTTATTGGAAGCGATGTCGGAGGATGGACCGTCTCTGCTGAGGCTTGTCCGTTTCGTTCCAGTTCTGCTACCCTAATGGTTAGAGGATATGATCAAGAGCTTAGTGTTATTGATATCAAGAGCGCTTTGAGTAAACATTTCTCTTCATGTGGAGAGATCAGAGTCCATGTTCTCCGAGTCCAGGGTCAAGGGAGGTTTGTGGCTTCTTCCTCCTAAACTATTTTTCCTAACGTTCAGGTTATTTAAATGCTAGCCAAAAAGACCTTTGTCTTTGTTGATATATACAGTGCAGCTGTAGTGCGTCTTCAGGGAGAAGACGCAGTAGACAAGGCGCTGGAACGTAGTGTGATGGACATGGAAGGACGCAAACTAGTTACTAAGCTTGTTTGTGGAGAGCCAAAATCCACACTCCACAGGCGTCCTCGCTTCAGGCACCGTTAACAAAGTAAAACTTTTGTGGTTTATCTTAAGTGCTAAAGATGACTGCCGATTTGAAAGCTCTCTCTTGAAGTTCTTTGGTTTTTTTTTTCTTTCTTTTTTTGAACTTTGTGCTACAATGCAACTTTTAGGGAAGGATTATTGGGAGTTGGATTTATAAAGATTTTGGTTGATTTTTAAAATTATCAAATTTTCAAGAGTTTTGTTGGATTTGTAAAACTTACAAAGAGTTTTGTGGATTTAATAGTAAATTTGATATAACAGATTTTAAAAATCCAAGAGATATAGATAATATATTAAAAATCATGATTTATGAGTTAAATTGTAAATAACTATTGTTTCAATAACACTAGATTATAACATAATCATAGAATCATTAAAATACAAACTTTTTGAATAACAATAGATTTTGATTAGAAATTAGCAAACCAATAACAATGTATTTTTATAAACTGTTTACGAATAACAGTAGAATTTATTAAGAATGTAAAAATCTACAAACCAATAACCATAAAGTCTTAAACTTTAAAAATCTTCATAAATCAACCTTTCAATAACACCCTTTAATCTCTGTACTATTACTTATTATGCTTTTTCTTTTGTCTGGATGTTAAGTAAACTCGACATCTGCCTTCATTAATATTTACTCAAGTTTGATGTTAAAAGAAAAGGTTTTATACCCTGTTGTGCACCTGGAAAATATCATTTGATTGTATTTCTTAAAAAAGGTTACAGTTAAATATGTAAAAATCTGAAGTAAACAAACTTAATCTAAACTTAACTTATTAGTTTGACAAAACTTAAAAGCGATTAGGGGCTAAGGGGAAGGTGTTGGATATTGATTTAACCAAGATTGCTCTTTGGTTCAATCCGTTATTTTGTCATATATGCATTGGTTTTGGTTAGAGCTTAAATGATTAATTTTAAATGCAATAATATCTCGAGTTCAAAAATGCATTCTACTTTCCTATTCCGGAGCAATATGTGGTGTTTGGTCTTCTTGATCATTCAAACAACAATGAAACATAAATAATAAAATATAAATTTATATGATACACGGCTAACTAAGTATTGTATGATCTTGATCGACGAGATGACCATGAACATATACACATATGAGATATATATACCATGATGATAAAATCAGATCTATAAATACAAACAGAACATATAGAAGCTAAATTATAAACTAATATGAGGAGACACTTTATTCCAAAGTGTACATTTATTGTAAAACGTTTTTTTGGTTGAATACAGTTTTATATTCGAAACCAGTAGCAACCTCAACGTGCGTAAATAGATCGTGGTGGTTGGCAAGAGTGAACTGCCAATATGTATATGTGACAATGTACTCTTTTTCCCATTGCCAGTATTTGTATATTGTATATATATACATTCTTTTGTGGGTGAGTTTCTGATAGAAAAAAAAAAAAGTACTCCACAGAATGTGAACTAACTTGTGATAACAAATCATTGTTAATTTTATTATAATGGTAATAAATTAACAGAACTAACTTGTGATTTGCAACAAATTTGAAACGTAGGATTGACACGTTTTTGTTTAAGTGGGTTGTTTAGTTTCAAAAATAAAAATATTGAGAATCTTATATATATATATATATATATATATATATATACTAATAAAAGTTGAAGCTAAATGCTTCTAAAGATGTCCATATAAGATTCAAGATTGCAATTTTATTGGTCCACATCAGCATATAAAAATAATGAAAATTTACAAATTCTAATATTATTGTTGAAAAAAGAAATATAAAAAAATAAGGAAATTATGAATTAAATTTTCATTGGTCCACATCAACATTCCAAATTAAGAAAAGTTTACAAATTCTTATATTATTGTTGAATAAAAAAATTAAGAAAGTTTACAAATTTAATATAAAGAAAATTTTTAATATTGTTTTTATTGGTCCACTCAATATTGAAAATTAAAAAAATTCCAAATTCTATTATTGTTTTAAAAAATTATTAAAGATAAAAAAAAAATATATATAATTTATATTAATAATAAAACTAAAATAAATAGTATTAAAATAGGAAATTTTAAATTTAAATTAGAGGTGGAAACACATATTTAGAGACTCTTATATTAGTATCCAATTTTTTGTTTACTAGGAGTTCAAAGAAATAATGTACAGAAAAAATGAAACAATTTCTTCTATCTAAAGAGTCTATACGGATTCTCACATAGAAAAATGTTGGCAAGTAGTGTTCATCCGCGATGCAGTTCTTATTGCCCTCTATACCTGGCTGAAGAAAAAACAAGAACCGTACTGTTAATGTGTGGTTAATTTTCATAGATCTAGATAGTAACGCCTCCATAAAATTGAGAAAAGAAGGCAAAATAAACATCTATGTTGAGGTTTAGGTCATACTCACCCCACAGTAGTCCCGGAATTTGGAGTAGTATAGACTGTCTGCCATAGTTATGACAGCATGCTGACGCTTCATGGAGAACCACTGCACGGATATATAGATAATTGAGATGAAAACTTGTTGAAAGACTATGTCATGCCAAATATTGTACCCACACTTGATCAAAAAGCTTCCCAATAATGACGAATGGAACCAAATATGCAGATCAAATGTGTTAAATAAATTGAATGATATTAATAAAACTCCTTAAAACCAAGGAGGGAAAAATCTGGGTTTCAAAAAAAAATTCCAGTTCCTAAATACGAATGTAAGTTGGTGCATACATGTTATTAACTAGTCCACAGAGAGCAATGACACATAACTGTCTTAAGTATCTGACCCTTAGTATTTTTATCACGCATGTACTTTCAGAGTATGAGGCAAGAATAATACTGGACCAGGGTAATAGTTTTTACCTGTGCACCCTTTCGAAAATCTTCCTTTGGAATTTCCGGCAACATGTGATCCATATGCCTGCCGGTTCCATGTGGACCAGGATCGTCAAAGCTGAAGAGTAAGAGAAATTCGTATATTAGTATAGAGAAGTTGAGAGAAATTCGTATATTAGTATAGAGAAGTTGGGAAGAATCTGGCAACATGTGTAATTATAGTTCTGAAATCTCATCAACTTGAAAAAATGACTTTACCAGTCAACATAGCTGACGTTGCTGTACATCATATAGTTGTACATGTATTCAAAACTTCTAAGTGGCACACAACTGCAAAACCAAGAAATCGAGTTGGTTTGGACAACCTAAGAATAATCAGTGAGAAGAGAAGTAAAGTTACTGAGAGATTACCTATCAGAGAGTAAAACAAATTGCTGATTTTCAGGATCTCTAAGAGCATTGGTCAACAAACGTCTCTCGGCGTCAATCATTGAAATTCTACCCCAGACCACCTTCAGAAAACATGATATATGATTCACTTACCACAATCATGGAAACTATTACAGAAGCAAAAGAAATTCATGATACATCCACCAACTAAATGCAGTCATTCCAATCCTATAGTTTTTAACCGAAAAAAGATTCCAGACCTATAGTGTTTCTTATCATGATTCATGACATAGTGAGAAATGATATGATATCTAAAAATATAGACATCAGACAGAGACAGACCTCATCACTTCGAATTTCACGATTTACAAAGTAACGACTGGTGTGAACCGGCGTATCCTTTGATGCATGGATGTACACAGAAAATTTACCCTCATGACCCTGCGAGGAAGGATAAAAGCACAAAAACGTCAGTTAAAGAAATAAGTAGACGAAGGAATCACATAAACACAGAGATCCTAAATATATTGCAAGTGGTTCATAAGGCACATCTAAGTATTTTGCCGGCCTGAATATGCTGCGTTTAAGGATGTTAAACAATTTTTCAGACAAAGTCTAAAATTTTGAAGAATTGTCAAACAGCATAAACTTATAATGAGTTCATTGTACTTTCTATCATCAGCATCTTCTTAGCCAGAAGGAAACCACTGAGACAATTGATACGGGAAAAAAGAAGTTGGGAAGAGATGAAGTCTACCTGGAAAAAGAGGTCCCAGAGCTTTTCAAAAGGCAATGTACCCGGAGTTAAGAACATAAATGCAATTTTAGAACTCTTTTTTATAACACGAGGGGATCTTCTTGCTCGAGTGGTGCACCAAGAAGAGCAAGGTGATCTGCTTTGGTGATAACGGATCGCATGTATTCTGTGATGGTTAGTGTTCCTTTGGTGATCTTTTTCAGTTGCTGTTTGATTTGATTTTTGTGTCCACGAGAGGATTGGACGTAAGTTCGAGCCAATGTGGTCCAAACTTCACGAGCAGTGGTGGCACGAGCAACGAGCGGTTGGATCGGCAATGATAGTGTGCCCAGCAAGGCACTGTAGAGGAGACGGTCTTGACGATGCCAGGGAGCGAGTTGCGGGTTCGGCTGAGTTACGTTGTCTGTTGTGACGGTTGCCGGTGGCGTTTGATCGGTTTCTCCGATGAAGTGATGCAGTTCGTGTGCTTTGCTTCGAACAGAGCATACACTTGAAGCTTCCAGGTAAAGTAGTTCGACGAAGTGAGTTTGGTGATCCCGTTCATGTTGACAGAGATGAGCGAATCGCTAGGTGTCGTCTTGTTGTAGACAGGCACAAGTTGAGCATTGTCGTTGGCCATGGCTATGAAAACTTTGTTGTGAAAGAGAGCGGCTGAAAAATTTAGGGTTTATAGATCGATATGCTCTGATACCATGTAGAACTTGATTCTAATTGATTTATGAATAAGTAAATACATCATATATATATACACTTAGGCATTGCTTTATCTAGGGATAATGTAAATGTAAAATATACATAATGATATATACATGTATATCCTGATAGTTTTATCGCAATTCCCATGTTTCACTTTCTCAGGTGTCTCTTTGATCACACCACGATAAGTCTTGTGTGTCATTATGAAAATTTTCTCAAGCATTCTGTGTTCTTATAAGTGCTTAGTTTATTTTGATAAAGCTTTACCTTTCTTCCTCATTCCCATTTGTAATTCTTACTTTTTTTTTTCTGAATCTTTTTACTCAATCTTAAGGGTGGACACATCTTTGCCATCTATTCCCCCTTCTTCATATCAGTCACACATTTTTTCACTGTCAAAACATGTTAATTGTTTTTACCATTGTTTCTTTGTAGCTTTCGTGATATTCCTCATGGTTTGGAACTGATTTAGAATGAACTTATTCCATATCTCTGAAATCTAGCTGATCATATATTGATATATTTCTTAGGGTGTTGCCATTTTCTACTAGAACAACTCATTACTGTCATTTTAAGTCTCTAATTCTATTTGGCTATTTAAAGTTTATGGTTCGAAAAATGTTACTCAACTTCAATGTTATTCATTTCCTCAATAAACACCTATTCATTTTTGCTCTCATCTTGATTTGTCACACAAACTCTACATCATATGTTAAAGATCTACAAAATATTAAAAGTACTAACCAGAGGTCGATAACTCGACTGGAAATGTACTTTGGAGTAATCCAAGAAGTCATATGTTTGAGTGGTAGCTGGGACGGGTAAATTATTAGAGGCTGGCCCGGGCCTAAAGAGATGTACGAACCTTGACCCAGAACTTTCTAATTATCCAAAAAAAAGTACTAACAGACACAGTCACAAAGAGAGAAAAATAATAAAAAATTAGAAAATTTCATTATTGGATACATGATAATAAAACTAAAAAATTCTAAATTTTAAAAAAAATTATGAACAAAAGCCTAACTATACAAAACAATTCACACTCAACCACCAATACCATGTCGATTGAATCCACAAACTCCCATATTGATCTTTAAATTTATATCTCAATCTAATACATAGCTTTTTAAAGTGATATGCTGATAAATCATATCAACTAATATAAATTAGGGAACCCTATAAATTAATAGCATTATCAGTATGAAGTATATAAAGGTTAGAATCTAATTTATTAGCGATTCTAGTGTTATTCAATTTATTGATTCTATTAAATGTTCGTGTTATTCAGTTTTGTTGCAGCATATATGTTATTGTCATTTAATTAATGGAATTTAAATAAAAATATAACGAGCCGATTCTGAACATTTTTGTTGTTATTTTGATAGAATTCATTAAAATTCCAACAAAAATTCTAAATTACTCTAAAATTAATTGATTTTAAATTCATCTGCATATCTTAAATTCAAGCATCCAATACTCCCACCTAAGTATAGAACATGATATAAAAATTAGAAAATTAAAAGCAAATTAGATGTAGACGACATGGTATAATAAGCAAAACAAAAAATGAACTTACACAAATGTAAATGATCTCAAATCGATCACGCTAGGGCTTCGAAATAAACAGAAAAAAACAAACAAAAGCAATAAAAATAAACCCGCATGCTTTAGAGTAAAACGGGCTTTAGGGTTTCAGAGTAAACATAATTTCAAAAAGAAGAACAAAACCGATCAGAAAAATAAAACAACGTTTTTTATTGACCTATTTACAACAAATTAGTTAACTTGCCCGCGCCTGGCGCGGACTGATTTGGTTTTTTTTTATTATACATTTTGTTGTTTGTAGACGATTGTGATAACATAAGAAAATAGAATAGAAAAATGCATGTTAATATCAAAATAATTTTGTTTAAATTGTTTCAAGATCTTTTGGTCATTGCTCTACGTATTTTCGACATGATTTATTTGTGTTATTCAGAGTTTATTTTTCTGTGTTTAAATTCTTTTGATATGTATTATGTTTGGTGTTTTAGGTATTTTTTTTTTGTCATAGGATAATGATAGGGAGTATTATGTGTTTTTCTAAAGTTTTGGATGTTTTTTGTTTTCTTTGTTTATTGTATCTTTATTGTTTGTGCATGGTTGTTTTTATAATTTCTTGTAGACTATTTTTAATCAAATGAAAGATAATATGTAGTATAACACTCCTGAATAATAGTGAAGTTAAGCACATTAACAAAAAATATTGAACTAAAACAGAGTAATTTTTAGTTTGTGTATTGTGAATAATTGATTTTGATATGAATATAAAATTAAAATTAACTATAAATTTAATCATAAAATCGTTTTAAATAACTTTGTAAATAGTATTGAAATAATCTTTCAATGCAGTTTGATATTTTACTCCAAAAAATATTTGCTTATTTAAAAAAATATAGTCTATACATTTTGAAAATATATCAAATAATATGTTGTATCTCTTAAATACTCGCCAAACACATATTTAGAGACTCTTATATTAGTATCCAACACTAGTAACTAATTTGATAAAGTAGACTTCATTTTGAAAATGTAGACTTCATTCGTTGCAGATAGCTAGCTTCATTCTGATGCTAGTGTATTCCTTCATCCAAATCGAAATCATTCAAATTCCTATAGGGTACTTCATTTCAAATGTGCTTAGCTTCCGCATAGTCTAGTCCTAAATCATGAATGAGCATGTCACTAAGAACAGTCTAAAAGCACATAGTCAACTATCATTGATTCATGTTCACCATTTTCTTTAAAACGTATTTTGTTTTGAAAACTGTTTTTGAAAAACTTTAAAGAAAATGCAAAAGTGTAGATAATGCAAGATTCATGAAAGAAAAGTGGTTAGAAATGGATGAAATCCTCCCCCAGACTTAAATCACACTGTCCTAAGTGTGAAACAAGTCGAGATTAGATGAGAAAAATGCATAGATATATCGAATTTGGTAAGCCAAGGAAAACTTACCTGGATCCGAGATGCTCATCGAGATGGACCGGATCCATTCGGGAAGATGCGGGAAAGTGGTAAGTGGTGATGGGAGGTGGTGGAAAGTGATGAATGAGGTGGAGTTGGATTTGGTGAGGTGGGATGGATGAAGTGGGTGGTTTGGGGTTGGGGGTCGTCTGAACGACCATTGGCCGCGGTCCGGGCTCATGCGACCACGGTGAAACTATGCTTGGCCACGGCCACAAAGGCGCGGCCAAGGTCGATGCTTGCTTGGCCGCGGTCTGAACTCATGCGACCGCGGGTGCTTAAATGCGGCATGTTCCTACTTCTCCTTGGTTCCGGCTGGGCCGAGCAGTCAGAGACCATCCTTCTTTTTGGTTTTTTCGGTTTTTATTTTTATTTTTTTTGACTTTTTTTTGTTTATAAGAAACACCTCAAACTAAGAAAAAGAAAAATATCAATAGAAAAAGAAAGAAAAATCCTAAAGAAAACAATACATAAATGGGTTACCTCCCATTAAGCGCTTCTGTTTTAAGTCGTTTAGCTCGACTTGGTGTAGGACGTGACTTAGTCCAATGAAGAATACTTCGTCCTAAGACAAGCCTTTTTTCGAAATCTCTTTGTTTTGCTTAGCAGGTTCTTCATCAATCCAAAGTTCTTCTTCAAACTCTTCTGTTGCAGGTCATTTTCCTGCTTCGCTGTTGTACGGGACAGCTTCTATGAAGACATCTTTGTCGATATTAACAAATGAGATCCTCCGGTTTGGCCAGTCCATGATGGCTTCGGAAATTGCTAGAAAAGACCATCCAAGAATCACTGGATGTGTTGCGTCTCTTGTTTCGACAATATAGAAGCCGACAGGAACAATGCAATGTCCTATTCTCAGAGGAATGTCATGGGCTACTCCTTTAGGTGTTGCGTTGGGCTATGATAATTTTTATTTTTTTCTGTCTGTGCAACCATTTCAAAAAAAACAAAAAAACAAAAAATAGAGTTAGGTTTCAATAAAAAATGAATCATTACGACGTAAAATAACCAACTTGACTAAACTATTTTTTAACTATAACGAAAAGAGATATAAACAAAGTCATTACAAGCTATTTTAATATTGAAAAATAGATCGTAAAATTTTCCAAAGCTTGGCCACCGAATTTGAGAAGAATGATAAATTTCAAGCAATCCAAGAAACATGTCAAGTGATTGATATTTGACACTTTTGAAAAAAACGAAGCACTGAAAATAGAGAAAGAGGTTCGTCATCACAACGAAGCAGACAGAGGTATCCGATAGAGATTTTTGAAATAACATGACATCTGATGTGGTTTTAACAACTTAACCTTAACCACAAAGTTAACTGACCAAACAGCATCTGAATACATTCGGTAAGCCTCAAAACAAGGAGAAAATACCAAAATCATGACACTTTTGAAAAACAAAACACTGAAAATAGAGAAAGAGATTCCATTATTAAGACGAAGACTGCGGTATCTGAGGAAGATTTTGAAATAACATGACATTTGATGGGGTTTTAACAACTTCGTGTTAACCACAAAGGTAACAATTAGCTGACCAAGCAGCATCCGAATATATTCGGTAAGCCTCAAAACAAAGAGGAGATGCAAAAAAGTTAAAGCTATATGTCTATAAAAATGTCCACATATGATTTAGAAGTTCAATTTTATTGGTCCACATCAATATTTAAAATTAAAAAAATTTCCAAAATTTGATATTATATTGTTAACAAAAAAATAAATTTATAAAAAAAATAAAAATTTTAGCTATATGCCTCTAAGGACATCCACATAAAATTTAAAATATCAATTTTATTAGGGTAAATCAATAACTAAAATTAAAAAAGTTTCTAAATTATAAAATTACATTAATAATACAAGATAATATAAAAAAATAATTAATTAAAACTATTCTATTATAATTAACAGTTAAAGCTATATTTTTCAAGGCATCCACATCGGCATTTTAAAATTAAATTTTATTTCATATATATCAAAATTTTAAATTTTTTTAAAAAAATTCTCATTCTATTATTATGGCTAAGAAAATAATTTAAACAATAAAGAAATCTCTATTAACAAAATAAAACAACATGATATTAAAATCTCCATTATCATTGTTTAACTTACAAATTTAATTTATTATCTATAAAAATATATGCTACTTATACAAGTTTAGGTTACTTGATTTTAAAGCTTTTCACGTAGAATTAAAATAACTAATAATTATAATTTTTATTAATTTAATTTTTGTCACATATGAAAATATATTTCCACATAATCTCATGTAATATATTATGCAAAAATGATCAAAAAATTATATTTTGTATCTTCGAGTTCTAATTGCAATGATTAATGTAGAATCTTAAAAAAATATCAATTATTTAGATATAAAATAATATGCAATCAATTAAAGAAGTAAAGTTAATTTTAACGTTGGTTTCTGTTTTCTTATAAAACTGATATAAAAAGAATAAAATTGAAGATGATAAAAAATATTTTCATTCATTAGAGAAGAAAAATATATTAATTTTTATTGATTTTTCTTGTCAATACTATTTTTATTAAATAGTTATTGATTATTTTGTTATAATTTTTAGTAATCTTTTTTAGTATACTAACCTACAAACATTAGAAACATTTAAAATATTTATATGAGTTGAAATTATAAAAAATAAAAATAATACTTACTATAACACAAAAAACAACACATATATTAATATGTGGAGTTATTTGGTGGTTTAAACATAATTTAAAGGTGACAATAAGTTTATGAAATTTATTTTAATATATAACAAAAAATTAATTAAATAGTTTATGAAGTGTAATTAAATGCTATCAAGTATAATTTATACTCATTAGAACAGTAAAATAAGGAGATTTTTTTTTTGTCTTTTTTGCCTGTCAATAAAAACATATTTAAAATTTATCACACACACTGTGTTACACGATAAAAGTTTGGTATTTACCAATTTAAGATAAAATTGACAAAAATTTATATTGAATTGATCGATATTTGTGATTTGAAATTAATTTCAAATTGTATTTTGTATTTATTTACTGTCTTAGTTTAAAATATATGAAATCAAAAAATTGTGTTTATTAGTTTATTTTTTAATCTAGAATAAATCAAAAATTTGTATCGACTAAACTAGCTAAAGAAAGAGAATAATTTTTAATTTTATCATTTTTTTATAATAAACATACATAATAAGGATAAGGATGCAAGTGATGAAAAAAAAAAGAACTTATTTCCTTGATTATAAGTGATGTATAATACTTTATCTTCGTGTTAATATTACTTAAGTACTATTTAATTAGTTTGTCACATTTTAGGTTGGTTTTAGTATATAAAATGTTAAGAGTACAACAAAATAATATGTTTTGTAAGTCGTACATATATTGGTTCAAACAAGATCATTGAAATCTCAAAATCTATATATAAATTCTGAGATTAAAACTGAATTATTTTTGATAAATTTTATTACAACAAATTAAGATTTAAATAAGTATAATTTCTTAAATATGATTTTAATCAATATAATAGCATTAAAAAACTACCACGCGTAGCGTAGACGCAAAATCTAGTATAATTAATAAAAATGAAGCTGTGATTTGAAAAATGCTTTAAGTGGTTACGCTTGAAGATATCGTAGAAGATAATGCGATTCTCTTTAGATGGATAATAAGGACGCGAATCTTGCGATCACATGGCTACTGCTGAGCTTAATCTATTTCAAATCATTGTTTCAGAATCGCTTGATGTATCATATGATTTAACTTTTATAACAAGATCGTAATAAAAAAAACATTTGACAGAGGATGAATCAGCGAGTGGCACCGCAAGTTATACCAACGAAGCTTCTTGAAACTCTTACCCCAGAAGCTTTGGTCACGTAGAACACACACATCAATATTACCAAGAAGAAAAATAAAAACATGATCAAACCACTCAACTTTTCAAACCGGAAGAATATGATCATATATAGTTAAAAGCCTTGTGAGGCATTCATTAAACGGTAGCAGCAAGAGCGTATTCTTTAGGAACTGTAAGCACATGATCAAACCACTCAACTTTTCCACAAATTTCAAAACTGTTGTCCCAAATTTCATAACTGATGCGCCTTGCAAGCATAATTTCCGCACACCAAATCATCCTCTGGCTACTAGAGGGCAAATTATTTTCCCACAAAACAGCCAACTTACCACCATAATCAGCCAATATAATAAAATCACAAGAAGGTAACTTAGGTAGTCCTACCAAACCCATCAAATCTCTCCACTCTTCTGCCTTGGTGTCATACCATCTGATTGCTCCCTCGGAAACACAGTACAAAACATCCTCTATCTCACAATAGCAATCTGAAAACAAATCACGTCTCTTCCTTATCGCAACCCAGTCCCATTTACCTTCCATGGAATCGTAAGCAACCGCGCTTACGCCACCACAAAACTTTCTTTCAGCCGCCACGTGAAACTTTCCGTCAATACATGCGCTTCTCGAGTGATGAAAACTACAAGATGTGTCGCAGCAAGGAAGGGGCAGCTCAGGATCCCAAGTTTTTGTTTCCGTTTCTAACACTTCGAATATGTTATAACACATCAATGAATAACCATGTCTTCCAGCTACATATATCTTTCCATCAATACCTCTAGCAGAAAGTGACGTTAACTCCACAGGAATGCTTGGAGCCTCGTGCCACGTGTGAGACCGACAGTCCATAACCGAGACGCTAGAGGATGGCTTAAGGTCGTATCTGGTTTTGCATCCGATGTTGTAGATATCAGAACCAACAGCCACAAGACACGAAAAGTAGGCAGGAGGATAATGAAGAATCGGGACTCTAGCCAAAACATATTCACTTGACTTCTTCTCCAAGCTAGTGTCATTGTTAATTAGGGTTTTATCAGGTTTCCGACAGAGCGTGAACCAGTGAGTGTCATAATGAGACCCTAAGCACAAGTAGAGACAACTCTCATCTTTTCCTAGAAGTGACCTAGCCTTGTAAAGCTCCGGTGAAGCGAGGAGAGATCAAAACTTCTTGGAGACCAAAGAGAGTGTCGGATAGTACAACCTTGACACGCGTGCGATGCAGCTCTTTTAGCAAATCATCAGGAAGCGATGGATTTGACGTCGGCGGCGAGGAACCTTCCTTCTTCACCGTCAGTGACGACATTGACGGAGCTAACGAAAACGAAATCGCATTAGGTTAAAGTTTACAAATTTCCAAAAGTTTTTTTACAACCATAATCATAAAACCATTACGTAAAAAAAAAAAAACTTAGTCCTAGATCTTTTATATGGGCCCAGGCCCATTTGCAAAGGCCGGCCTATTTCTCAAGAGGTTTTTAACCCATGTGACGCTACATATTGCGGAATCGAAGTGAAGCAGAAGCGACGGATCTGTTTCTTTTTTGAACTGGAATCATCAAAGAGCGCTTGCGAATTCTTTGAAACAGAAAGATGCAGGTATGTTTTCTCCAATTCGAAACCCTAGCTTTTCTTCTATCCTCCATAATTGAAACTGTGGATATCGCTAGGAGGAAAAACCCTATTCTATTTACCTTTTTTCTACCGAACGATGTCGAACATGAATTAAACTCAAAATCTTGAATGATTTCGCCTTAGTTCTTATAAAGATTAGGTTTTTAGCATCAGATAGTTTAAAGTACTAATCTTTTGAATATTTTTTTGTGTTTGTGGGGTATGTGCAGGCGAGTGATAGGTTTAACATCAACTCTCAGCTTGAGCATCTTCAAGCTAAATATGTTGGTACAGGGCATGCTGATTTGAGCAGATTGTGAGTTCTTGTGTCTTCACTTTTTTTATTCCTGCACTAGTTTTATTTCTTTCAGGCTTCTAAATTGTGGACTAACTTGGAATGTCTATTGTATGTTGTCTAGTGAATGGGCTGTGAACATTCAGCGTGATAGTTATGCTTCGTACATCGGTCACTACCCGATGCTTGCCTACTTTGCAATCGCTGAGAACGAATCCATTGGCCGAGAACGCTACAACTTCATGCAGGTTTGCTTTCTCTTTCTCTGGAACTTATCTTACATCTGTTAATTTTCTTGTAAAGAATCATATTGCAAATTTTAAACGTGTTATTGTGTGTTTATTTGGTTCTTGTGTCTTGTACCTGTACTAACTGAAAGGACAGGACAAGCTGCATCTCAGGGTTTAGATTCTGATTATAGGTTTAGCTGATGATGGTTGTTTTAAACGTTTATGATATGTTTAGTTATCTTCTGGATCTTCTATACAAGATTGTGTCTCTGCATCATCTATAGTTTGCTTCATAGCTTCTATCTAAGTTTATGCGTCTCTAGAAGGGATAACGGCTATAGATATCGGTTTATGTGTTACAATCAGTTGAAAAAGGATTATTAGTTCATGGTCTCACCAAAGTTTACTAGTTTAATTTAGAGGTCTAGAACTTGTAATAAATTTGACATCCGCAAGGTGCATTTCATCTTCTCCATATATCCTCTCTACAAGCTCATATTTGATTCAGAATAATGACAAGCTCATGTTTTCCCCCTTTGGCTTTTCTAACTTCAAAAATCGTATTTTGCAGAAAATGCTTTTACCTTGTGGCCTTCCTCCAGAAAGAGAAGATGACTAAAGAGCTTGCAAGTGTTGTGGCAAATGGAATCAGAACAACATTTGATCTTTCTACTCTCCTAGGAACTCTCTCTCATGAATTGTTGTTGTATTGAACCTATAAAAGCCTCTCTTAACTCTCTTATTGTGTAAAGACCTTTGTTTTTCATACAATGAAAAATCACTTTGCTTTTACGATAATGAAACTCCTATTGTTCAATCTCACCACTTTTACAAATTTGAAAGTTATATAAAAGTTGGAGTTGGACAAAAAAAAAAATCAAACCTTTGAGCTTCCTAGGTGAATCAGTGAGGAGAAAGAAACCCATTTTAGTTCGTAAGATGAGTTCATCAAAAACCCTAATCAAAACCCTGATCAAGAATCCCACTCGCATCAGATCTAAATACCAAGCCAAGCAGCTTCACGCACAGTTTCTCAGGACCCAATCTCTCTCTCACACATCTGCTTCCATTGTGATCTCCATCTACACCAACCTTAAGCTCTTGCACGAAGCGTTGCTTCTTTTCCACACGCTCGAGTCTCCACCTGTTCTCGCATGGAAGTCAGTCATCAGATGCTTCACCGACCAGTCGCTCTTCTCTCGCGCATTGGCTTCGTTCGTCGAAATGCGAGCTTCTGGGAGATGCCCAGATCACAACGTTTTCCCTTCTGTCCTGAAATCGTGTACGATGATGACGGATTTGAGATTGGGTGAGTCTGTCCATGGCTGTATTCTTAGACTTGGCATGGATTGCGATTTGTATACTTGCAATGCGCTCATGAATATGTACGCTAAGCTTCTGGGTATGAGTTCGAAGATTAGTGTAGGTAAAGTGTTCGACGAAATGCCACAAAGAAACTCCATTTCTGAAGACGTTGGTGATAATGGAAAAAGTTCAAATTTTCAGAGCTGTAGCGAAGATTTAGAGGTTGAAACTTGCGTTAATGGATCTTCAGTGAATGCTCCAAGTTCTTTGCCTTCAGGAATAGATAGTGTGAGGAAAGTTTTTGAATTGATGCCTAGAAAAGATGTAGTGTCCTGGAACACTATCATTGCAGGGTATGCACAAAGTGGAATGTATGAAAACGCTTTGAGATTGGTTAGGGAGATGGGAAGTAATGACTTAAGCCCTGATGCTTTCACCTTGTCCAGTGTTCTTCCGATATTTTCAGAGTATGTGGATGTTATCAAGGGAAAAGAGATTCATGGGTATGTGATTAGGAAAGGCATTGATGCTGATGTATATATCGGGAGTAGCTTGGTTGATATGTATGCAAAAAGTGCTCGGATTGAAGACTCGGAAAGAGTGTTTTCTCATCTGTCTTGTCGGGATAGTATCTCGTGGAACTCGCTTGTAGCCGGGTATGTACAGAACGGTAGGTATAACGAGGCTGTGAGATTATTCAGGCAAATGGTAAACGCAAAGGTTAGGCCAGGACCTGTGGCGTTCTCGAGTGTTTTGCCTGCTTGTGCTCACTTATCCACCTTGACCCTGGGGAAGCAACTTCACGGATATGTGTTAAGGGGTGGCTATAGCGATAACATATTTATAGCTAGTGCACTTGTGGATATGTACTCGAAATGCGGAAATATTAAGGCTGCTCGGAAGATTTTCGACAGGATGAATTTGCACGACGAAGTATCATGGACAGCTATCATAATGGGGCATGCGTTACATGGTCATGGGCGTGAAGCGATTTCTTTGTTTGAAGAGATGAAACTGCAAGGAGTGAAACCGAATCATGTGGCGTTTGTTGCTGTACTAACTGCTTGTAGTCACGTTGGGTTGGTAGAGGAGGCGTGGGGATATTTCAATAGCATGAGTAAGGTTTATGGTTTGAACCATGAGTTAGAACATTACGCAGCTGTAGCTGATCTTCTAGGTCGTGCAGGGAGACTGGAAGAAGCATACGATTTCATATCAAACATGCGTGTTGAACCTACGGGTAGCGTCTGGTCTACATTATTGTCTTCTTGCAGTGTTCACAAGAATCTTGAGCTAGCCGAGAAGGTTGCAGAGAAGATATTCGCTGTTGATTCTGATAACATGGGAGCTTATGTTCTGATGTGCAATATGTATGCTTCTAATGGGAGATGGAAACAGATGGCGAAGCTGAGATTGAGAATGAGGAGAAAAGGAATGCGAAAGAAGCCAGCTTGTAGCTGGATCGAATTCAATAACAAGACTCATGGGTTTGTTTCAGGAGATAGATCGCATCCGAGTATGGACAGGATCAATGAGTTTCTTGAAGCTGTAATGGAGCAGATGGAGAAAGAAGGGTATGTTGCAGACACAAGCGGGGTGCTTCACGATGTAGACGAGGAGCATAAAAGAGAGCTTTTGTATGGACACAGCGAGAGATTGGCTGTTGCTTTTGGTATCATCAACACAGAGCCTGGCACGACGATTAGGGTCACTAAGAACATAAGAATATGCACGGATTGTCATGTGGCGATCAAGTTTATTTCGAAGATCACGGAAAGAGAGATTATCGTTAGGGATAATAGCAGATTCCACCATTTCAACCGTGGAAGCTGTTCTTGTGGAGACTATTGGTAATGGAAAGTGTAAAAGTTTTTGACTTGGTTTGTTCAAAGCCAGAAGACGTCGCATAGGGGACCTGTTTCATTACACTGATTCTAGTGTTAGACAAGGAAATGTGAAAACGATATCTATGTAGTTTCAAATCAAATTTTTGTTTTCTATACAAGGATCTAATCTTCTATACGGATTTATTTGATAGTATAGGTAGAAAATATATTTTAATCAATTATGTGGATATAAATTAAAGGACGTTGCTCAAATGCAAAGTCGATTTTACATGGTTTTTGTAATTATTTGACAAACAATAAATGGAATGTTTGGACATAAATATATATGATCTGTTGTGTAAACGGCAACAACAGACAGAAGCTGACCTTACATTCACATTATTTATCATTGGATTCATTGCCCATTGTCCATAGCCATAGGATCCTTTTTGGTCACAACCAAAATTCATTTTTTTTTATGTAGTGATCGTCGACTAATCATTAATTCATTATAATATTATAATATATGTTCATAAATATATATATATATATATATATATATAATCTCTTATTTTTCTTCTAAAGTAGAGTATGGATCGGTTAGTTACTTAACGCAGTAACAATAGTGATAAGAGATGAGGATAACGATGATTTCTTGACGGTTTAATGATATTTATAGCGTCAAGCTTTTGTTATTATTGCACCAACTCTTTACTAACTCGTTTTATTGTAAGGTCGATTTGTGATGGAATTGATTGTCCATGCTTCATATTTTTGGCGCCATTCTTGCAATTATTGTTTGCTCTTTGCTATTTTTTATGATTAACATTTCCAAATGTGCTTTATTGTAACAATAAAACCCCAAACTGAGCTTGTTTGCGAAGTAATTAAGATGAAATTGGTAGTGCTACATTTGTGTTTTTGGGAGTCGGTAGAACCAAAGCTTACTTTGCTTTCTAGTTTTCTTGTCTTTTCCTTACATTTGTTTTTGCTTGGCTTTCCATCGATCGTCATATTTCGGCAATTTTCTAAATACAGCAGGAAGATTTTAAAAATATATATTTAAAAATTGAAACAAAAAACCAAAAACATTAAAGAAGCTTTGACAGCCAATTCAAAGCTGAATTAAGGACATCTCTAACTTTACCCAATTTCTTCCTTCAAATGTTATTTTGGAGGAAAATTTTCTCCAACCCTACCCCATTTTCACCTCCAAAGTGAAGGAATACCATTTTTTCCTCTAAATATGGAGTAACTCCATTTTTAACTCCATTTTGCAGGTGAACTTTTTTATTTACAAAATAGTTTTTTACTTTTCATAAATTCTTAAAAATTTATAATTTAATCCTTTATATTATATATATTTAGTTAAAAATTAAAAATAGATAGATTTAAAATTTGAGAATAGAAAATAAAAAATATAAGAAGATTGACTGAAACTAGAAATAACATAAAATTAAAATACATAAAAAGTACTGAAATTACAAAAAACATAAAATAAATTTATTACAACAACTGATTAATATTTCTCCAATCGTGATTTGCTATTGTGAAAAGTCCAGTTCGTTTTTGGAAAAAAAAATGTGTTAAATGACATAATGACTACATGTATAATTCTACATAACATGATAGTCGAGGATGAGCGTGATCTTGATGCACCGATTAAAATTGGAAGAGAAGCTCCACCTCTAGAAGTAGAAGTAGCTAAAGACGAAATTATCCGGTTCCAAAATTTTCTTGCTCGATTCAGAGAAATCAAAGATAAAAACGCTCATTTTTCACTTTGAAATGCTTTAATTGATCATTTGTGGGAAAAGTATTCAAATGGTGATATTTAAATTAAAATGTACTTAATTTTCTTCTTTTAAATGGTGTGTAATGTTATTTTTATATTATAGTGGTTGAATTTAAAATAATATTATAATTTATGAAAGTTTTAAGAGAAAAAAAATAAACAAGTTTATTTGTAATTTTTATAAATAGAGTGCATTATTAGTATTTAACAATAAAATAAAAAGGAAGAATATACTTAGAATATTTTTTATGGAATTGAAAATGGAAGAATACATTGGAGAGAAATTTAACTCCATTTTGAAATTCCTCCATTTTGGAGATAAAAATGAGGAAATACATTGGAGATACTCTAATGCAATAGAAAAGAGTTATAAAAACATTATTTTAGAGTAGACATTGTTTTCATTTTTCCAGGCCATATTTAATACTTTTTGTTAGAGTAAGGAAGATTACTTGGTAACTTAAGGCAAAAACTAAAATTAAATTAAAACCTTAAAGAATATTCTCAAAATAACATTTTATGCTTGCATCAGACTTGTAATAGTAACATTTCAATTATGTTTATCTGCTCAGTCTACACTGTTTGTTTCATCCATTACTTTCATCAAATTTGTACCATTTTATTCGATCGATCTATTTTGTTGTTATCTGCTCAATCTTTTCTTTTTTTTATTTATTTAATAAACAATTTTTCTCGTTTATTATCCGTTTCCCGTGACGATAAAAGTAATAATAAAATAATAATAATAATACAGAGTAGTAAAGAAGATCGAGGGATAATAATATTATATTCCTCAAAGCCGTCTTGTTTCGTCTCACTTTCTCTTCCGTCTTGTCGACATTAGTCGGTCATCGTCCATTTTCTCCTTCCCACTTTTATTTTTCTCTCTTTTCTTCAACAATCTCCAGAAAAAGTCACTACCTGGGAAAATTTGGTTTCTTATTAGTCCTTAAACTTTATCTGATCACTGTTTCGACCGAATTCTACAAAAGATTGGATTTTTAGTCTGCCCAAAATTTAGAATAGGATTATCTCGGCGTTTAATTTGTATAGATGAGAGTGTTACTTTGAAGTAATTACTGCTGCTAAAAATCAGATTTTGGATTCATCGAAACGATGGATCATGTCATCGGCGGAAAATTCAAGTTGAGTAGGAAGATTGGTTGTGGATCATTCGGTGAAATTTATATAGGTGTGATTCATCAAAATCAACTCACTTGACATCTTTCTTGTTTTTTGCTTTTGTATTTGGTTCTTGGTGTTTATTAAGAGTTAAATCTGACAGTAGTTTTGATTCTTGGTTTTGCATGGCTTTCAAGGGATTAATGTCCAAACTGGTGAAGAAGTTGCTGTTAAGCTGGTATGTTACGTCTTAATCTCTTCAAGTTAATGTAATAATGTAGATGATGGATATAGTCTCTGTGTTTTTTGACCTGAATCTTGAATCTTGAAGTCTCTGTATTTGTATATAAGTTTATGTATTTTTCAGCTTCTTCAGTTTTCTATATGATATCAAAATTTTGTATTTTAAGGCTAATGCTTCATTGTGGTTTCTCTTTCTATTCTGATATAGTTGATGCTTTTGTTTGATTGTTTTCGTCGTCGATAGGAACCTGTGAAGACGAAGCATCCTCAACTACACTATGAATCGAAAGTATACATGCTTCTTCAAGGAGGGAGTGGGTTTTTCCTTTCTCTGGCTCAGTTTCTCTGACGTTTCTATTTTTATGGAATCTGAATACTTCACGTTCTTTTGATCAGATGGTGTTCCTCATATCAAATGGTTCGGTGTAGAGGGTGAATATAGCTGCATGGCGATTGACATTCTTGGTCCTAGCTTAGAGGACTTGTTCAATTATTGTACTCGGAAATTCTCTTTGAAAACTGTTCTAATGCTTGCTGATCAGTTAGTAAGTATGCCCCTTGGATATTTCATGGTTTCAAAAATAAGCTTTTGGAGATGTTTTGATTGTTCTGTACAACAACTGCAGATAAACAGAGTTGAGTACATGCACATAAGAGGGTTTCTTCACCGTGATATTAAACCGGAGAACTTTTTGATGGGTCTCGGTCGCAAAGCAAACCAGGTAGGATTGTCCTGTTTCCTGCTTTTAGTAGAACGTTGATGTGTATATTTAAAAGTGATCTTAACAAATGATATTTCAAACTCAAGGTGTACATTATCGATTATGGGCTTGCTAAAAAGTATAGAGATCTTCAGACGCATAAGCATATACCATACAGGTGGGATCTTTACATGTTTACTTCATGCACTCTGCTTCCATGCTTTAGGCATAAAAGTTGATTGAATTTTTTCACAGGGAGAATAAGAATCTAACAGGAACTGCTCGATATGCAAGTGTCAACACACACCTTGGGATTGGTAAGACTTCCATGCCACATATCAGAATTGATTTCATTCCATATTTAAGAATTAACTTGATAGATAAATGGATTTGCTTGCAGAGCAAAGTAGAAGAGATGATCTGGAGTCGGTTGGTTATGTGCTGATGTATTTTCTACGAGGAAGGTAGGAAACTATCTTGGTTGTGTTATAATAGTGAAAATCTTAAAGAATCATGAAAATCCTTTAAACTTTGGGACGGCATGAAATCTTCTGGTCTCAGTCTGCCATGGCAAGGTCTAAAAGCTGGTACGAAGAAACAGAAATATGAAAAGATTAGTGAAAGGAAGATGCTTACTCCTGTAGAGGTACGTCATTGTCTATATAACATTGTTTTTGTGTAAGCTTTCTGTAACTTTTCACTAAACATCATTTTGCTGTTTTCAGGTTCTTTGCAAGTCATTTCCGTCCGAGTTCACATCGTATTTCCATTACTGCCGATCATTGAGGTTTGAAGACAAACCAGATTATTCATATCTGAAAAGACTTTTCAGAGACCTTTTTATCCGGGAAGGTTAGAAACCTCTTCTGTTTTTGTTATCTTTCCCCTCTCTATTATAATGTTACTTATTGTTTTTGGAGTTATATTAGTCGTAAGAAATGTTCACATGGATTACATCGCTTGTTAATGCATGCAGGTTATCAGTTCGACTATGTGTTTGATTGGACAATCTTGAAATATCCTCAGATGGGCTCTAGTTCGAGACCAAGGGTTAGTGTTTTTTTTTCGGTTCAACATCTGAATAAAGAGCCTTTAGAACAGTTAATTACTCTGAAATCTCATGTGTGTATAATCTTGTGTCTTGTTTCCACCAGCCAAATCAAAAACCAGCTCTAGACGCTCCAGGACCACCTGCAGACAGAAGTGACAAGCCTACAGGTATAGCTTGATTTTATATCCCTGCGTCTCTAAGGGGCTAATAAAATGTTGACTGCTCGTGTAATCTGAGAATTATGTTGTGGCATCTGAGTGTTGAAAAATTTGGAGCTTTCTCCATGAACCTTGATTTCTTGCAGTCTTGCAGATGTTGGACATATTGTATGCTGAGATAAGTGAAAACTTAACTCGAACGTTGATTCTCTATTTTGTTCAGTGGGGCAGGATCTGCGAGAAAGATTCTCAGGAGCGGTTGAAGCATTCGCCAGACGAAATGTATCGAGTCCTGGCATTCGCTCTTCCAAAGAAGTGGTTAGTTTTTTGTTTCCCTCTTCTATAGCTTATACCTCAGTTTGTGAATCGTGTTTCTGATAAGTATATGACTTAAAAGATATATCTTGCTGAGTGTTTGGGATCAAAGCAAGTATCTTACTATGAAATTAGTCATGAAAATCGTTCTTACGTTTCTTGATTGATTCTCTTATGTGTTTATGTTTTGTTGCAAGATGCAGCATGAGTCTGAAAAAACAAGAAATGAGAGCGCCACAAAAAGGGTGGTGATGATGTCAAGCAGCAGACCTGGATCATCAGGTGAGCTAAGCGAGAACCGATCAAGTAAACTCTTTTCAAGCGGTGCCCAAAAGATTCAGCCTGGCCAAGAAGCTAAGTCATCAGCAAGGCTTGGACGTGATGACGCCCTGAGAAGCTTCGATCTGCTTACTATCGGTTCCGGTAAGCGGAAATGAGTCACAGAAGGAGACTGTGAACTTAGAAAGAATCTGTTTTACCTACTGAAAATGGGAAAAAAAGATAAACAAAAAATCTTTAGTCTTCATTTGATCTGTTTAGCCTTTTGGGAAGAAGACGAGAGAAAGTAAATCTCTCTCCTTCCTTATGTGTTTATAGAATTTGTTCATTAAAAAGTGGTACTGGATATGTAACTTGTAATAAGTACTATGTTTAATATTAATCAAATTTGGTCAAACACTCAAAACCTATTAATAGTTGCTTCTCCTGAAGTATCTGAGCTAAAAGAAAGGGTTGCTCATGAGAAATGTTTGGTCAGAAGCTCACATTTAAGTAATTTATCGTAGAGTCAGAAGACAGCAATTTAATTTTTAATGGGGACACTATGGTTTGGAGAAATCAAGAAACAAGCCTCTTTGTTTCTTCAAGACAAGTACAATGTTGCTAGACTTGTCCTCACCGATGTTACTGAAGCTGAGCTGTGAGTCACACTATAACCTGTAATTAGCTAACTTTGACATTAGTGATTACTTCAACTCTTTAATAAGAATTTGGTTTTTTTTTTGGTGCTAATTCTTTAGGTTAGTAGAAGAAGTGACAAATGATAATCCTTCTTCTCCAGATGCTAAAACGATGACTAAAATAGCTGAGGCATCGTTTGATACAGTGGATTATTGGAGAATTGTGGATGTTCTTCACAGAAAGTATGAATAAATACTTATTATTATGTTTCTGGTGGTAATTAATTATTGATTAACTGATTTTAATCACATTTAAAAACAGAATAGAGAAAGGAGAGATGAAGAAGTGGAGAGAGGCGTATAAGGCAATGGTGTTATTGGAGTTTCTATTAACACATGGTCCTCTTCATTTGCCTCATGATTTTCTTTATGACTTGGATCATATTCGTTTCCTCTCTACTTTCCAATACGTTGACGATAATGGGTAAATTACTATACAAAAATATCCAACTTTTTATTATGTAGGGAAGAATCTCACACAAACAAAAGAAAGAAAAATCAATTGTTTAGCTAATTCTAGAAATAAACTCAATTACAGGATTTGAAGTTTCCAAAAAATATTTTACAAAAAATGCTAGTTAATATTCAACCTTCATCTGTATGTTTTGTTTCATGATTTTTGTTTTTAACATAGTAAGAAAAATGTTAAAGTGTTAGTTATACACTTATACTCTTCATTAATACATTTATTTGTGAATTATTTATTGTGTTTAATTAGCTAAAATAAAAGTGATAAAGTTAGAAGATTGATTAAAAATCAACACTAAAATTACTAAATATATTTTTTCTGAAAATAGTAGTTTATTTTTGTTCAAAATAAACAAAATTATAGTTCTTCTGTTTTTTTTTTTTGAGAAATCACAAAAATATAGTCTGCAATGAAATCTTAATCATGTTTCTAATTTTGTTTATTTATTTATTTTAGATTTGATTGGGGAGCTCAAGTTCAGAAAAAAGCTGATCAGATTCAAACCCTTCTTCTAGGGAAAGAGGAATTGAGAGAAGCTCGTCTCAAAGCCCTCAAAACCACCTCCCAAATCAATGGCTTCGGAAACTCCATCAACAACTTTTCTTCTCTTCCGTCTCCTTCACCGGACTCGCTCTCTCACCGGAGATGCTCCGATTCGACAAAAACCGAACGAGAATGGCCTGTATCCGAATCCGATTCGTTGATCGGCGATGAAGACGACAGTAATCTCGCCGGTGAAGAGACGCTGATCGGCGGTATCTGCTCTAAGCTAGCCGGATTTAGTCCTCTGAAGAAACTTCACGGCGGTCCTACGGCGGCGGGATTTCATACCTTGTCGAACGTTGAGAGAGTTTCCAGTAAATGTTACGATCGCCGCAATTCCATCGGCTACTAAATTTAATTCGGTTCGGTTTAATTTTAAATCTACCGGAATTACACAAAAACCGGTTTAGTCAAACCTAATCACAATACAAGAGATTTCGCTTTTGCTAATCCTGTTTAAAGCTTCTTTGGCTAAGCATTTTGCAGCTTCTTGTGGATCTTCGATGTGTCTGATTAGATTAATCGCCTCTTCATTCTTTATCACCTGCACCAAAAAAAAAATCAAACCATTTTAACGTTTTTCTAAGTGATTAAATCTGTATTTTTATTGATCCTCTTTTTTCTTTTTTGATAATCTTACCTCCCAGATTCCTGAGCTACCGATAATGATAAACTCTATATCTGAATCAATCTTTTCTGTAACCAAAGCAAGTTCTTGATTTCTTGGATCTGATTCATCTTCCATTTCACGTTGATAACAAACTGTGAGATACACATTTGAAGAAAAGCTGAGATCTCAATCCAATTTCTTCTCATACAAGTAATCTACAATGAAAGCAAAACCGGTCTGATCCGAACCAAACCTGGGAAAATAAAATTTGACCAATTTCTTGTTGAGGATTTCCGGTTATTATCTTTGATTTGATGAGCCTCGCCGTCTCTGCAAACCACCACTCTATGGCCGCCGATACTAGCCATGGCTAGCTTTTCTCCGTTCACCACCGTCACCGAAGCGGCCGAGCCACCGCTTCTTTTTTCCTCGACGTACGCTCTTCTCATAGTCTCTTTACACTTTCTCATTATCCCATGCTGCAATTTTTTCCTCCCACAATTACTAAAATTTGAAATTGAAGAATCGAAATATTTCGATTGTAAGTTATAACTTGTGATTTACCTCATTGGGGAGCTTATCGAAGAGATGATTCTGTATATATTTAACAATCTCTTTTCCTGTTCCAGCATTTGAGACTGCAAATAACCAAATCTCAAGCTCTTCATTTTGCTGCTCTCTCTGTACAAAAACCGAATCGGCACTCGATGAACGGTCGATGTGGCTTAACCGGTCGATAGTATAGTATCCATGAGAAACCGGAGTTAACCATGATGGTTTCTTCTTCTTTCTTCTTCTTCCGTCTCTAACTACAAGTCGTCTGAACCGGAACGCCTGTTGGATTCGGTTATCTTAGAGATTACTCATACTTTTGAAGATATTAGAGGAGTTTATATAATCAAAGGATACTCGAAAGATCATATTTTTATTCTGAAATCCAAATTCTGTGGTTTTACTTCTTTAAAATCCACAATTCATACCCAAATAAACACAATTGTAAAAAGGAAAAAAAAAAGATATAAGAGGGAGAAAGAGATGACCTTGAGCATAAAAGGGAAATCCCAGAAACCCATCTTCACTCATAGCTTCTTATTTGCTTACTATCTTATAAATTGCAATTTTTTTGATAAAAACAAGAAAAACTTTTTCGATTCTCACAATTGAAAAAAGTAGAAAACTTTATCAATTGCAAGATACAATCTTCTTTAGTCATTTTCGCATATTATAAAAAAATATACAATTCAGGAGCAAAAAAAAAAATGCTACTTTTAGTCATTGTTTATTGGCATTTTTTTGTAACTAGTTATTAGCATTGAGAGCAGTGTCTAATGAAACTCGAATTGTGTTGTCAATAAAACGCTTATAGTAACGTCCATTTTGAGATACATACTGATTAGTGAACATTAAATAAAGCGTCATGTAGTAACGTACGCCTATATTCTACTAACACATTCCAGTTAAATTCTCTTGTTTGTCTATATTTGACTTTGACAATAAATTTCTTCTGCGATAGAGTAAACCATGGAATTATCGGTTAATTATTAAACCGGAAAACTCTACCAAATTAAGTTTCCTCTTAAATTAAAACCTCCAAAATACTACTGTCTTTTCTTGCCGGAGCTTCTCCCTCCGTCTCTTGTTAAACCTCAAAAGCCCTTTTTTGGCGGAGCTTTTAGGGAAAGTATCTCGAAAATGGCCATGGGCCGTCTTCTATCGCCGAAATTAACTCCGCATTTCAGCACCAGAGGTGATTTTAGAAAAACCCTTTTCCTGAATCGCTGTGATTTTTATTTTTCTCACCTTCAACGCAAATGATTTTCATTTTCATTTTTTTTTGCCGTGGTTTTCATCGAATACTTATGAATTCTGGAAACTGAATAGGTTTTGTACCTCTAACGAGGAAGTGGCTTTCTTCTTCCCTGGAGGATGGTCGGAAATTTGAGAGATTGCCGGATTCTAAGGCTTCCGTTAACAAGTGAGTACACTTCATTTTTTTCTTCTCTTCTCCTGTTTCGAGATGATTTTCTGTTACCTGATTGGATTATTTTGGAGTCATTTGATGGGTTTTGTGTCCATTCAATCTGAAAAATGTAAAATTCGGAATCTTGTTGTCATCAGAATAGGTTAATGTTAGTCTCCGTGAAGAGTAATGAACCTACTTCGAAACCAAATCTGGAAAAATGGAGTTTTTGCTTGGAGTTTGTGGTAGGTGTTGTTAAATGGTTCGGTTAACTCAAGCCTTTGTGTATTTATTGTGATTTATCTTCTTCCTGTGTCTTTCACTTGAGAGGCTTCACCTGGTTCTGACCACTGCAAAATCTAGATTTGGGAGATATCAAGCTTCTTGTTAGATTCATTCTCATACTAATTTTGGGATTGTTTTCAAATAATGTTTACTTTGGATGTGTAGAGACATTGGCCAAAAGGGAATGCATTGGTACTCTTTGGGAGGCTTACTGACTAATCTAAAGCAAAAGATTACTGGAAACATGCTCTTGCTCAGCAAAACTTCAAGTGAAGAATCGGTTTCGCCGAAAACCCCCATGGTTCCTTCAGAAGATGAGCCTGCTACTAAGGTGGTTAGCTTGCAGGATGTTGCAGAGAACAAAAACTGTATACCTCCGAATGTAAAGGAAGAGTCTGTAATCTCTGAAATGGTATTTCAAGATGCATCTCAAAGAGTTGCAGCTGGGAAGAGAGAAAGCGCATCTGTAAATAAAGAGAGGTTAGATAGTAATAATAGCTTAGACGACTTAGAGTTGAGATTGATACAAGCTGAAAGAGTGAATCTCCCTGAGGAACCGATTTCTAAAGATGCTTCTCTAGGTTTCTTGAGTGAAGAAGCATCGGAAAGTCTGGCATCATCTGAAGAAAATATAGGGAAGTTGCAGCCTGAGAAAGGGCAATCCGGTCAAAAGGAATCACATCAGAATAAACTCTCGAGCATGTTTATGAACCGGGATCCAGATAAGGAGGTTGAGCTTCGTCTGAGATTTGAGGCATTGAGTAACAGTAGTTCCGGTATGTCTACAAAAGAATCATGTAGTGATGTGGGTGATCAACACGGCCTATTTGGTAAGATGCCGTCTGATCCTATCCAGAAAATGAAAAATATCTCTAAGGAAAAGGATACACACTGGTTTTCAGAGGCTCTCCAAAACCCTGAGTCTTTGTCATCCTTTCCATGTCATGATCGGAAGAGTGGAGACCTGCCTGCTACTAGTGAAACGAAATCTACATTGCCGTTTAGAAGTCCTAGAGGAACCGTTGTACCTGTGGCAGTGAGTAAAGACTTGAGCATAAAGATGGTGATGGAGTGCCTGAAAGTTCCAACTGATAATGGCAGGGACGCAGATGCCAACTCGTTGAATCCTAATGATGGAGAAGGAAAGTGCGTATTGAGAGGTAATTCTGTAACGGAAAAGAGTGATCGTCTTTTTGCTGCAGAGGAAGAAGAATCTTTGTGCACTCAGGCAACCTTGGCTGCTACCACTCCGAATCCAGAGTTAACAAATAAGAGTTTGGACGCATTATCTGTTGGAGAGCACTCTCCTAACAAAGTATGCCTAAGGTTTTTACCAAGATTTGACAAGGAAGAGATTGTTAAACGATTTTCTGAGTTTGGAGCCGTTTTGGATTTTCAAGAAATCCCCTCTTTTGATGGATGCTATTACAAAGATGCTGTCTTGACTTTTGAGGTTAGTTTTTGCATTGTCTTCTTGTTTAAACGTTTACTTAAGTAGTGGTTTTCTGCTGCTCATTTCTCTCTTTGCTTCCATATTTGTAGACTCACTCGGCAGTCAAGAAGGCTCTCAAGAAAGCAGTTGTGATGGTGAAGAATTACAGTGTAATAGTTGAGGCAACTTCTCAAGAAGACAATGTAGAAAAGATATGCATTCCGGATCTTATTGGCGATCCAGATGTGCCTATTGCATTGTTGAAGGAACCAACACGAACAGTTAAGATTCATCCGCTGGCTCACGGAATAAGTTCAAATCAGATCAAAGAAGCGCTAAGGTTCTGTAGGAGCGACATATCTAAGTTTATCTTGGGTTCATCGAAAACAGCTGCTTTCGTGGAGTTTGAGGTGCGGTTTTTATAGTAGCCAATCTGGTTTGAGTATCAAAATGCTTAAGATAAAATCATCTAACTTTGTGTTGCAGACGGAAGATGGGAAAGAGAGAGCACTTGCAGAGCATTCAATCAGCATATTCAACAAACAATTGTTTATCTCAAGGATTGATATACCGAGGACAACCGTTGCAAGGATTTCACACTTTTCAAAACCATGTATGAGTGACATACGGAAACTGTGTGCACCTTATGGAAAGATCAAACAGTTGCTTTTCAGGGGAGATGGTATTGCAGATGTGCATTTCGATGTCTCTGAGTGGCCAAACATGCACACTATTCTCAACAGGTTAGAACACAAAAACCACACACATCCGTTTTTCTGAAAATAACAAGTGGAAAGTCTTTGACTTTTGTTTTTTTTTTTTTTTTTTTTTTTTTTTGACATCCACTTTTGTTTTTTGTCTTTTTTGTGTCTTTGTTATTTTTGACAGTATGAATGGTATGGAGATCGATGGTATGAAGTGGGTGGTTCGACCAGCAACAACAGTTATACCCCATGAGATTCTCAAGGTTTTGTGGGAAGACCCTCAAGGAAAGAGATATGTGAAAGGTTTGATTCAGAATCTTGTGAGAGAGATTGAACAGCCTTTAGATGCAGCTCCTATAGCAGCTATGCATACACTATTATAGTTCCATTGTGCTCAACTTTTGAAGATTACAGGCAGGGCTGGCTAGAGCCTTTTGTTTTGTGACTGGTTTTAGGCTAAAGCCATTGTTTTGGTAAACATCTATGAAAAGAAAAGCTAACCACGATGGAATTAGTTTTATTTGAGAGATCAAAGAGGAAAACGAAACTGCTAGCTAAAACAATCAGGTTTAAATTTAATTGATTGGAAATTTATTCATCATGCGTACGCAATTACTGTTAGTCTCACAACAATAGCAATAAATTTGTGATTCAGCCATGCCAAAATCAATGAATTTATTTTCTTGTAAATCATAAAATAAAATTATCTATGGATTAAAGTATGCACTAATGATTATTATTTTTTTAGTTACTGAAATAATATTCAAGATTATGAAAAAATCTGAGGTATGAAAAATGAAAGATTATATTATACTAAAAAATATAAAATTACACTAAATAGATTTCTCACCAATAGAAGTGAAAATAGAAAACTATTCTAAAGTATTAATATTATATTGATGAAAGGTTTAATGTGTATCTCACCAATGAAGGTAAAAAATTTATGATGAAGATTCTCAAAATAAACTACACTAAATAATGATGTGAATCTCATCAATGAAATGTTCTTATATATATAGAAAAATGAATCACCAAAAAAATATAGACTTCAAAGTTCAAACTCTCTTTCTAACAAAATTTAAACCTCTTATAGTCTAGTTTACAATGCCAACATGGTTGTTTTTATTTATAATCATTTCGATAGTACTGTTGATAGCTGGGGTTACGTTTACTTGCTATAAGGATATCAAGAAAGATGATAGCAACGATGGATAAACTCCGGTAATCACTATTCACTAATGCGTGAAGGAGATTTGTTGGCTGGCTGGCAAAAACCCTTCAGAAAATTTGTTGTTTCCTTTTATTTTTCTGTAATAAACTTAGTTACATTTCCGGTTTTTAGTTTGACTATTTACAGTAAAACCTTTATAAATTAATAATGTTGGGACCATAATATTTTATTAATTTATCGTAATATTAATTTATCTATAAATTAATAATTATTAATTTATAAAAGAAGTTGTTTTCACATATAAATTTTTAAAAATTTATTTGGAATAATGTTATATTTTAAAATTTTAACAAATCTCATAATATATTATGATTAAAATTTATAACTATCACAATAAAATAATTTTTCACCATATTGGATTGTTCATATAAAAATATACATGTTTATAAGTTTAAAATTTATAAATAAACTATGGCTATTATCAGTATTATTGATGATAAAGTTAAAGATAACACTACAATAGATTTTAAAACATTTATCACATCAAAAAATTATTATAAATTTTGAATGTATTTAGTAAAACAGCAATAAGAGGTACTGATATAATAATTAGAGAGATGAGAACCAATGAGATTTCAACTTTAAGTAAAAACAAATACATTAGTCATATTTTAGAATATTAAATTTACATATATTTGCATAAATTTATATAACTAATAATTTATGTTTTTATTGAGACCATATACTTACATAAAGATTTCAAAAAAGAAATATTATCTTATTATCTTATCGAATTTGATGGATTTTTATATTGACCCGATTTGAAACCAGCAAAATTTATTAATTTACAGTGATTATTAATTTATCGAGTATTAATTTATAGAGGTTATACTGTATATCGAATCAATAGCTGAAAATGCCATTAACTCGCTAAACCTTGTGCCCAAAAGCCATCACTCTATTATTTAATTTTTTATTGAATTATTTTAAATAGCCAAAATCCTAGAAATTCATATCTTCTCCTTAAAAGTTTTTAAATTTACAACATAACTTGTTGATTCTATAATTCACTCACAAAAAAAAACCGAACCTAAATATTTAACCCGATAATCCATAGATTCATTCGAACATTTACCTTATTTTCCTTTACTAAAGGAAAATCAAGTCAGTTAAAAAAAAATTGAACATCGAGACATGAGAGATTCTTTTGGCGTAGAATCTGGCGAATGCTCTTCTTAGTTTTTCTTCGATTTCGTCATCTTTCAAAACTTCTCAATTTTCGTTTTTGTTATTGTTTCTCGTCTTTGTCGATAATGGCTCGAACTAGAGGTAGGAAGCCTCACCAGCGAAAGCCTGTAGTATTACAGGGACAACTATGTGATTAATTTGTATTGTATTTCGTGGTAGAAGTGAGAAAAATAGGTAACAAGTAGAACAACTAAGTTAGATGAAGTAAATTAACAATAGAAGAGGAAGATATGATCAAATCCATTTATGTGAGGTAAACTATAGAAGAGGAAGATATGATCAAATCCTCCAATATTATTTGATTTCTATTAATTAAACCCATAAAAAATAAGTTTGGTCCAATGGATAAAAAATCAGCTAAATTTTCATACGGTAGTAGACTAATTCTGGGAAAAAAATCTGAAGAATTCGTAAGACTGATTTTTACTTCAATAACTACTTCAGTTTCGCAAATATCATATATATAACGTACTAACAAAAAGATTGATTCAAGAACTCTCTCAATTTGTTTATTATTACTTTCTATACAATCAAAAACTTCTATGTTTCATAAACTAACTTGTAAATATGTTTACCTGTTTGGTATTTGATATTTTGATTTATAAATTTGCTGGTATCGTCTTTATCCTAGATTCAAAATCTGATTTCATAGATTAATGAATGGCATTTTAAACATAGAAAAATTGGTCAGAAGGTCTTAAACTTTTGGAACACGATTTTACTAGTGGTTATATACATAATATGGACTTAGTGGCAAGTTATAACTCTGTGAATCGATATCATTTTGTCTTTCTCTCGAGGAAAAAGTATGATATTTAACTTGATGGAAACTAATATCCCCTATAACAAAAAAAAAACCCCTACATAGATGATGATGAGTTTTTAGTTAAATTACAAAAGGAGGATTACTACACTAATCTTAGAAAGTATTTATATTACTCGTTCGACGTACTTTTATTTTTTTTACAAAACTAACCTAGCATACCTAAAACACCCTTTTCGCCTTTGTTAAAAAAAACCTAATTACAAAAATGTCATTACTTTTTTAATGCCACGTAGGCAGATTATGGCGCTAAAAAATTCATAAGTCTACCAAGCTTTGACGGTAGACTTATGAAATTTTGGTCAACGCAGAAATTTTGTTGGTAGATTTATTAGGTCGATGGTAGATTTATTCGAGAGTTGGTAGAGTTTTTAAATGTTGGTAGACTTATCTTGGTAGAGTTTTGACGATGAGAGGTAGATTTATTATGTTTCGGTAGATTTGTTGTTGTGAATGGTAGACTTGTCAAAAGTATTGGTAGACTTGTTAAAAAAAGCGTTGACTTGCTCGCGTAGTTGACTTTTTCGGTAGATTTATTGACAATGAAGTAGATTTATTTTCTGTGTTGGTAGACTTATTTCCTTTAGCGGTAGATTTATGTGAAAAAAGTTGTCAATACGTGCGGTAGACTTATCTGTTTTATGGTAGAGTTATATATAGTTGGTAGAGTTTTCGCTTTTGTGGTAGATATGTTTGACTTGTGGTAGATTTAATTCAGTTAAAATTCATTCCGGTTAGTGGTAGATTATATGTTACATGAGGTAGACTTAAAAACTTTTGGTAGATTTATTTGTTTTGTGGTAGATATGTTTGTTTTGTGGTAGACTTAAATTTAAAATAAATTTCATTATGGTTTGTGGTAGATTAATAATTACATGAAGTAGACTTACGAAATGTTGGTAGATTTGTTTGTATGTTTGGTAGAGTTTATGTAATCTGGTAGAGTTATCTAACGTATGGTAGACTTCTTAAAATAATAATATGGTAGATTAATTAAGTTTGGTATTTACAAAGATAACCTTGATCTGGTAGACATATGACATGCTTATGGTAGACTTGTTTATATGGTAGAGTTATTTTTCATGCTTGAGGTAGACTTAGTAGTTAATGTTTGGCAGACATTTGACTTTATGGAGTGAAATTACTTTTTTGTCCTAAATATATTCTCCTATCTACGAAAAAACCAGCGGTTTGGTAGACTTGTTTTGGAATGTTGTATGTTAAACAGGTTTCGTACATATGGTAGACTTGTTCCATGGTTATATTTGACTTGGTTTTGTTACCATTGACGTTTTCTTTGCATGAGTTTGCTAAGATTATGTCGGTTAACTGTGATTCGATCACAGATGAGTATTGGTCTTTACAATATAGATGTCATAATCAATGATCAAAAATTTCTAACATGAATATTTTTTCTATGATATATCTTTTCTCTAAGATAACTTTGCTTTTCATATTAACTTTGAACATATATGTCATATTTGTAATAACCATCTCTTAACTTATGATCTTTTGATTTTTATTTTTGAATATTTGTTACATTTAACTTTATTTACATAAACTTTTACAACATAATTGAATAATAACATTCCTAGCAAATGTGATAAAAATGTGAAATGTCTGGATCAATGTTTTACGACAAATATAATTTGTGATAAAAATGTGAAATGTCTGGATCAATGTTTTACGACAAATATAATTTGAAAACAAAAATATTATCATTCAAAATAAATCTACCATCATTTCAAAACAAATCTACCAAATGTAAATCTACAATTCATAGTAAAACATGTCGGATCGGTGCTGGATATCTCATCAAAGATTTGTTCACCATGGCAAAGCCCATAATCTGTCAGAAAAAAATAAACAATTATTGTTATTCATATATAAAATTCAAATATATACGACTGATAAATCTACCATGAATAACTAATAAATCTACCAAACACATATCATTTTTCAAATAAGTTACCATTAAATGACTAATAAATCTACCAAACCACATCGTTTTACAAATAAGTCTATCATTAGATGACTAATAAATCTACCAAACGACATCGTTTTTTAAAATAATTTTATCATCAAATAACTAATAAATCTACCAAACCACATTTCGTTTTCTAAATATATCTACCATCAAATAACTAATAATCTACCAAACTACATACCGTTTTTCAAATAAATCTACCATCACACATTATGAACTTTA